AGGGCAAAGAGCCTTTGGCCCTTAAACCAGCGAGCATGGGGTTCTCGAGGCCCGTTCTCAACCCCATCAGCGCAGCCTAAAGCTTCTCGCCATCTCACCTTCAACCTCACCTTCAACCTGAATTAGCACGATCCTGTTTCTGAGAAACATCATACGGCACCCAAGGCTCTTTCCCACCTTGTGCCAGGCCGAGCAGGCCGAGTTGATCGGTGCCCTCCAGCAGGACGCTGGTGCACCTATTTCGGCTTGGTAAAAGACCCGTTAATGAAATCCCCGACATGAACGATTCACTTTAAAGCGTTGAGGAATCAAGAGTCGACAAGCTTTACATGTTGACATTAGGACGTATTTTTGTCATGGTTTTTTTGCTTCCCTTTTCTTTTTTTGGTCCTCGGGTCCTCTAGTCCCTTGGTCCTCCGGTCCTTTGGTCTCTCTGGTCCTCTGGTTGCTCCCTCCGGTCCCTTTGGTCCTCTCGTCCCTTGGTCCTCTGGTCCCCTATCTGGTCCCATGATCCTTTGGTCCTCTGGTCCCGTGGTTTTCTGGTCCCGAGGTCATATTTTGTAACTTATTTATGTGCGCTAACCCATGTGGCTTTTGTAATCACACCCTGACGGCCTTTCTCCCGCCATGCAGGCGGACGGCAGGCTGCGTGACGCCCAGGCCATTGGGTGTGGGGCACTTCTTGGATAATTCTTGCATACCGGCCGAAGACAACGCAACAAACTAGACTTTCGCCGACAACTCGGCCAACACGAATGGACACAAGCCCCACTCATTCCTCCCCTTAAAACAGCCAAAATCCTTAATGGGCCCCAAAACAGGTGCCCCTATTTCGGGGAATGCCGATACGTCCTAACAAAGGGGTATTGGGCGTGGGCAGTTTCTGGAAGCCCCTCCGCCTGGAGAGCGGCATTAACAGCCTCGTTGGGATTAAGGAATCTTTTGGAATTCAGGATTAGAAGCTGCAAGGTTAGCTTCGGGCGTAGAGGTTGGGCTTCCGGGTTTTTACCGGGGGGGGGGGAGGGGTGGGGGTGGAGCCACGCGGAATGTTAGCAGCCACGCAATCTGGGTGTAGGATTGCCTGAGCCCTTAATACGAGAAGCATGCCGAGCTTGGAGCACCAAGAATGCTTGCTATGACTGCAATGACGGCTGCTGAGCCAGAGGTGATGGTGAACTGGTTGTTGTCAATGGAGTTTGGGCCTCGATCATGTTGTGGTGCTTGTTCAGGATTTCAGTTGCGAGGATTACAGGTTTGGGGTCGCGTCTGAGAAGCCCATCGTGCATGCTGAGGTACCAAATGCCACCCCCCCATTCCTGGGTGAACTACATGTTGGCAGCGGAGAGGTGAAAGGGTGGAAAGGGTTTGGGGGGTTAGGGATTTTGGGGTTGAGGATTGGTGCGACCACATATTGGTGATTGTGATGGGAGGTTGCGGTTTCTGGGGATTTACGGCCCTGGAATCCCTACCCAAAATGGGAGGCCCACATTTGCCTCACCCTAGCCCCTTGTATGTAGGGGCAAGGGTGGGGTATGGCATTGCTTCTGTGCGGTTGAGGGTCCATACTGGGTTTTAGGGTCTAGGGTTTCGTATGTCAGGATTGCGGGTAGACCTCCACAACCTTAAGTTTTCTAGGCCCTGATCCTTGATCCTTCAACCCTAGACCCTTACGTCCCCTGAAGACAGCCTACATGCCCCCAATAAAGCAACCCTCGACCCTCCAGCTCCAGCCATCATGAGGCCAGAGCAGTTCAGGTTCCTGCAGGCGGGGGCAAATCGGGTTTGGCGGTGTAGTAGTTCAGGGTTAGGGGTTAAGGGGTGTAGCGGTCTAGGGTTTAGTTTGAAAAAGCATGGGAGCAGCAAGGGTTGTTGGGTCAGTCGAGCCCCATCTCACCCAACCCAATCCTCGAAGTCGGAATCTGGAAGGCCTTAAGGCTTAGAGTTCAAAGCAGACAATCCCATGCACCGTGTTGGCGGAGCCTTGAAATCGGAACTCTAAATCTGTTTAGGGTAAACTCTAAACCCTAAACCCCAAACCCCCTGAGCCCTACATCCCGAATCCTACGCTCGCACTGGATGGTGATCCAGGCAGTCGAGGTCCTAGCTTACGCAAAATCCTAAACCTTGACCCCTAAGTCAAGCCCCATGTATACAGCTCATGTCATGTTCGGGGAGGAGGCTTTGGACATATGGCGGACCTTTTACCGGTTCACGACAAACCAGATCCCTCAAGAACCCCACGTTGTTGAACATAGATGCAGCCCTAGCCACGTAACCCTTACATAACTTCAGGAGCCACTCACCCTAAGCCCCAAGCTGAAACCTGATCAGGCTATGCACAGAGGCCCGCAAGGGAGTTTTGCTTTTGGGGGGTGGGAGGAGGGAGGGAGGGAGGTTGGGAGGGAGGGGAGGGAGGGAGGGGAGGGAGGGAGGGGGGGGGGGACTTGTGGTTCGATAAAGACAAGCCTGAAGGTGGTTTTGCGTTTGAGGGAGTTTGGGCTATAGAAGGTTTTGATGAGGGGTTTATAATCCTGCCTCCTCTCTCCCTCCCGTCATCAATTCTCGAAATTAGGCTCCCATTTGTCGGTACTCTGAATTTTGGCATACTTGGGGCGCATTTAAGGGGACTCCATACAAGGGGACTTCAGTTTAAACCCTAAACCGCAAACCGTGATAAACCCTACTTGGAGGTTCACGCGTATTGTGTACTTGTAGCCGTACCTGGTTCAAGGTACGCGCAAGCCTGAGTGTATGTCCCCATGAATCCTCAAGTAAGCCGTTAATGGCAGGGTTCCCATTGCCAGGGCCAAGCTTAATTGGCCACAGCCAGAAAACCCCAAAGCCCTAAACCCTAAATTCCCTAAACCCTTGACCCTTAACCCCTAAACCCGGAATTCCCTATTTCCCTAAACCCTATTTCTTAAAATACACCGCTCACAGGACCGCCACCCCCTCCGGCTGAAGGCCTCCGCGTATGGGCAGATTGCACACCTGTTCATTCACCCTCCAAACCTCCAAACCCTGAAGCACACATGACGTGGCCTTTAGTATGGTTTGGTCCTTAGAACCAGGTTTGCCCGGAAATTCAGAGTCTCAGCCTTGCTCTTGAGTTTAAAATCACTGTACAGGAAAGAACGATAGCTCCTTAGGATTCATTCTGACATTTCCTTGTTTAAGACTAAATCCACAGGAAGAAGCAATAATGATTGAACAGGGTTCGAAGTGGCGTATAGCGACATGGAACTCGAAGAGTTTTAAGGGTTGAGAGTTCCCGGGGTCGGCTTTAGAATTTTGAGGATTTGAGGTGTCTAGCTGCGGGTTCAGGGTGTAAGGTTCAACGGACACAGAGCCGCAGTTCACTCCCCCGAAACCCCCCCAAAGCTTAAACTGCCCAGGTTCCGGTTCCACGGCTGGGCATTCGACATGCTGGCGTGACACTGCCATTTCACCGCCACAGTAAACCCTAGATTTCCCTAAGCCCTAAACCGAACCCTGAACATCTCCAACCCTGAGCCGCATGCCAACCGTAAACCCTCACACGCCAAAGCACCCGAAAGTCTCAGACCGCAGAGCTGCAAGCCGAGCCCAACACCCAAGTCGAAGCTAAGCTCCAAACCCTAAACCCTAACCCAGAGCGCCTAAACCCCTAAACCCCAGGTCCCTGTCAGCTTGTTCCAACGATTGTATATAGGCCCTGCATTGGGTCTGCCACGTAGGAAGATGCTCCTGGGGCACGCTGTCACCATTAACTTCCTTGGAGCTCAAGCATGCAAGGGCTGCAAAAGCATTGAAGGGGCAAAGCGGTTAGGTTTCGGGGTGGAAGAGGGTTTAGGGTTCAGGGTTTAAGGTTTTGGGCCCTGAGATATATGGCATGTTTCCGTATATTCGGGCTAAAGAAGCCCTAAGCCTCAAGTTGATGATGTAAATGTAGGATAAACCCTTAGAGCCCTCCAACGGAGGTGTTTGCACTAGGGTGTAGGCTTTCGGGCTTTAGGCTGTAGGGTGCAGCCGTCGACTTGCCAGATTTGGAAGACATAGTGGGGATGGCAAGCACAGGCTGCTTTCCTCTGCGTTCTGTGCGATGCTTGAGACCTAGGTGCCCGTGTCAGCATGCCATGCCGGCCGGGTTCGGCACAGGAGTGGGCAGTTTTTCCCCACTTCATTGACGTGACTCTCCAAGGTTGCCCCTACACCAGCTAAATCCTAAGTCCTAAACCCTAAACACCAAGAACGCCCCAACTCCTGCCCAGACGAGGGTTTGAACAAGCCTCTCCTCCACCTTTGCCATGAGTTGTGGGTCGGTGGGAGGTTCAGGGCCCCAGATTCCAAGAAGGGTTTCAGTTAAGGATTTGGGGTGGATTCAGAGGTGCATTAGGGAAGCACGTGTTGAGGGCCTAGGGTTCATGACTTGGAGTTGTGGAATGGGTGAGAAAAGTGCCACGTGTTTCATCTTTATGTGGAAGAGGAAAAACTGCCGAACAGGTCAATGAAACTAATTACCCGCTAAGTTGTTCCTTTCGGCGTAGCTGATTCAGATGCGCGTCGGAAGGGGAGTGTCGGCAACTCCAGCTGTTCCCATAAACGCGGAACTTGAGCAGCAAAAGGTGGCCTGCGAGCTTGGTCTTTGTTTTGCTAGGCAAAGTTGGAGGTTTGCGTTTGTGGTTACCCTGAACCCCTCAACTGACAGCATTCTGGCGTGGCTCTTGTTTACCCAGACCCCAATGTCGCTCAATTGGGGAATGTTCTTTAAGCAATATTCCCCAATGCCGAGTTCGATTTCAGGAACATTGTCCCCCATCGTCTAGAGAATCAAAAGTGAGAACGGGCAAATGGTATTTCTCTGGGCCGTAACGTGCATGACCCTTGCGCCTTTTCCGCTTTGTTTGGGGCGATGATTAGGTTCACAGGCTGTCTCAACAGGCAAAGGCCGCATGAAGACGTTCTTCCAACACCCCTGTGCGTGGCAATGGCCGTAGGGCGAAGTCATGCTTTGAGGCTTAATGATTTTGGCCTTGCATCATGCTGCAGCCTTGCTGAGACCGAGACCGAACCGAATGGATTGTTGGGGCTGTGCCATGTCGATGGTCAACACATGGATTTTGCAGCTCAGCTGAACTCTCCGGATCAATGCTTGCACTTGGTTGCGAACGTTCGATGTTTGAGGTGTCTTTTTCTCCTTCAAGCAGTCCATGCCATAGGCAAGGAAAATGTGCATCGCGCACCGTTCCAGAGAACTTGATGTCCGTTGCAGCATTGTGGATATGACGTCTCACGTTGTGAGAATGAGGGTGCGTTGATGCTGAGTGCTGCTAATGTTGTTCGCAGGCACGTGCTGCATCGAGGGCCAGTCTTCAGACACCGACCAGATGAGTTGTTTACAGACAAGACATGCGAAGAGCAGATCAGCAGAGGATGCTGCCAGCAACACCGCGGCAGAACCCCAATCGAGCAAAAAGCCTGCAGATGCGGATGTCAACTCTGCTGAAAGCATGCAGCGCACGAATGGATGGACAGACCAAGCGCACCATCATTCAGGATTTCGAGAAGGAGCACCTCATTCCCGTCATCACGTTCCAGATCATACAGTCGTAGTGCATCATTGGTTTGTTGATGATGATAAGTTCCCTGACCATCATACTGGGTCGCATCAGCATCCGCATTCTCAGCACCATAACCGCAATCATCATTCTCGAACGGAAGCTCCATGGTGGGCTGATGACACCGTCCATCATTCACGGCATTCTCCAACCGTGTGGCCAGACACACCGGGATGGACTACGTATACACCGACGTGGACCGATCCGTGGACTACAACCCCACCATGGACAGACCATCACAACAATCCACCTTGGTGGCACAGCCACCACCAGCCCCATCATCATTGGACAACCACTACGTATTGGGACGACTGGCCTTTCACCACCCAAACCCCATATTATCCACCCGGCACTACTGACCAAGCGCAAACAACGTCTCAGTCAACATCTACGCCACCCGTCACGACAGCTGCATCAGGATACACATCATCTACTCCACCTGATGACACAACCCCGAGTGTGCCAAGCACCTCTTCAGCAGCTGAACCTACAACATCCAAGCTTGAAACAACAACTGTAACAGATCTAACAGAGCTGTCGACAACTTCGACAACCGCAGCTTCAACCTCCTCATCCAGCACGGCAACGACAGCAGGTCCGACTAGCCCAACTAGTGCAAGTACGACTGGTACTTCAGTTACTGCAGCTCCTTCGAGCACTACTCCGCATGCGTCTTCGAGCACAGCAAGCTCAGCCGGAACCACGACGGAAGCTGCAGCTCCAGCTTCATCTTCAACAATTGGTCAGACAACGACCACCGGTGTACCAACCACGCAGCAAACTTCTTCGTCGAAGTCTTTGATGCCCTCGACATCATCAACAGTGTCGACCACGGCTCCAACAAGCACCACTACTCTCCCAGCCAAGACGACTGCAACACCTACTTCAACCACCATAGAAACAGTCAGCGCAACCTCAACTTCAGCTGCTGGGACCACCCAAAAGCCTAGCAGCACAGGAATGTCAACATCAACTCCGCCTGTGACAACAAGTGTTACAACGAGCGCAGTGGAAACGACCACATCTACCACTGTGCTTGACACGACACACCTTTCCACAACCAATGCAGCAACAACTGCAACAACAACGACGACGACAACAACAGCAGCAGACACAACCACTACTCCAGGCACTACTGCAGGAACAACGGCATCAACAGCTGCAGCAACTTCTGGCCCGATGTCGAGCACCCAATCACCAACATCGGTGACAACCACCACTGCGAGCCCGACAACCAGCCCGTCGGAGGCTTAGAGAACTGAAGGACTGCCACTTGATCGCTGCATCAGAAAGATGTAAGCACTGGCAAACAAAAGCCTTCTCAGATTTTACATATGATGCTTAGGGAACACATCTTGAAATGGTCCGCCCCAAGGGCAACTACCTCACCGACAGGTGCAAGCGACCTACGAGTGACTTTACGACTTGTGTGTGATTCTTCAGTTTTTGTCGTTAAGAGAGCTGACAACTCATACCCCTGTGGCTGCAGGTTTCGTTATTTCATTTCATTCATGCCGCCTTAGATGCTGTGCGAGTTTGTGCCAACCTGCCATCCGAGACACATCCTCCTGACATGTCCAACAAGCACTGCCGTCCTCTTGATGCTGCTGGAAACCCGATGGGTCTGCACATCCGTGTGCGGAAGGAGGCGCGAAGTTCCGACATGTCGGGCGACCATAGGGAGGGGCAGGGAGAGCATGCCGTCTTGCAGCGATCGATGAAAGACCGGGCATCAGGTACACAACATCAATGAAGATGAATGGGTGCTATTCCGAGATGGGATGCAAGCTTTGAAGGTCAGGTACACGCAAGACCCGTGCCTTGCTTGCATCCGAGGTGATGTGCATAAAGATTTGCTGCGCATTCATGTACGTTGAATGCCTTCCCTCTCTCCTTAAGGTCTTCATTTCAATGTCCAACGAATCATGGCTTCTGCAATGACTTTCGTGACTACCCGCAGACTTGGGAGTCCTTCATCTCCCTGCATCCGCGGCTACACGATGAAGCCAATGACTTTCTGGTGGCCCACAGAAAGTTTGTCTACGACATGGAGACAGTACTCCAGAATCTAACTGGAAGTTGTGAGCTCTTCATCCCCTACTTCCAGTCTTTTGCCTTTTCTGTCGATCCAATGTCTGCCCCTGTTTGGTCAGCGAATCGCTTGGGAAGCCTCCCGTCTTGGTGGGAAACACGTGACTGCGAGTATGGTTTCTTCAACGATCCAGCTTGGTGCGTGGACGATGGACTTGCGCAAGGCCAGGCCACAGAGTAGTTTGATGTAGTTGGTTTCAATGTCGACCTTGGGCTGTGTCGCACAAGCAGCTTGTTTCGAAGGCCGGGCTAGCAGAGCATAATTGACGAATCCATAAATTCACATCGGTTTCCAGCCGTCAGGATGGACATCACCAGTTGCCGGTGCTGCGCAATGCGGCGGATGCATTGCACGAGTCTTGGATCATCATCTCCAATTTTTCTGACTTTGCTTCGTGCCCACTTGGCTGTTACCCTGACAGGTCTCTGTCTCCCCAATGCGAAGGATGCTGCTGTTTACTGTTGCCTGATGCTGCAGTGCCTCTCTGCCCTAGCGTGAGACAAGACACTTCCCGCTCAGGGAGCATGCAGGGTGCGTACAAGGGCACATACCCGTTTGGCGTCCGAGATTCGACAGCCACTTCGAAGCGCAGCCTCTAAAGGTGCGCGGCAAACCCGGTCAAAAGGCCTCTGGGAAGAACTCCAAGGGCTCAACCGGCTATTTGCCTGTGGTACATTGACCCCGTTGCAACGAACCAAAACGGCATCATTCCAGGCCGCCCAAGAAAGGCACTCAAGCAAGAAGCAGCCGGATGTAGTAGCACCAGCCTTAGTCGTCATACGAAATGCTCTGAGCTTGCGCGATTGGAGCGAAATAGCACGGTCATACGCAAACTATCGTATATTTTGTTCTGCACGCCGTGACCTGCGCTGAGAAGACATGTCTTACCCGAAGAAACGGTGGTTTGCAGATTGCATAGTAAGTTGCCGAGGAAATCCCCGCGGCGTGACCACCAGCATTGGTGTGAACATGGCCCAGGCTGGGCCACAATATGTACTGTGTGCTACTCTTGAACATGTAAAGACTGTGTGCTGAGGGGTATGTGGGTATGCGGGTATGATTGTATGATCTAAGCCTAAGTTCTGTGCCTTTCTCACCATATGGGCTCCTTTAGGTCCCCAAATAAGCAAGGTTTAGGGTTCGGGGTTTAAGGTCTAAAGGTGTCAAGATTGGTAGGTATGTGTGGTATTACCCCCTGCCCCCAACCAGCTTTCAACCATTTGTGGGTAGATGCCCGTGATCGCTTGGAGGGTCGGTCGACTCCTTTACGATTCCAGGCTTCCAGATCTTCCGGGAATCCTGAATCTTGAAACTCGGATGCGCCCCACAATGTTGAAGCTCAGCCATTCAAGATTCAAGGGTCTGCCCGAAACCCAGGCTCCAGCCATAGCAAAACATGGAGGGAATACCTTATTTCCAAACCTGTTGCCTGACTGACATGATTTACATGTCAGGAAACCGAGAGAATCGATCATCATCTGCCAATATAATATAGAGGGTCTCCTATCGAAGCATCAAGCTCATCAACATACGAAGGGAGAAGAATGTTCACGTTTGCAAATATGGAGGAACCTTTTTCAAATGCACAGGGAATAGAGGAGGGTTTTCATCACTCAACTAGGGGAAATACAGGTTGTTCCAGAGGAAGCAAAGGACTTCCCATAGAAATGGAGGTCCTCCTATCAATACCTAGAAGTTCTCCTAGAGGAAACGCAGCTGCTGAAGTTCAAATAGAGGGTTTTCTCTCAAATTGGGGACCAGAGGTTGTTCCAAAGGAACTGGAGGGTTTCCTATCAATTGTGGGGTTTCCCTGAACGTCCGGATCTTCTATTGAACAAATCTCGGGGACATGTTGCTTGTAGGAGTTGTAGTCCACCCACACATCACAGACACAAAGCAAATCCCGTTCCACATCTTCGTTGTACCCCGCAATCATGAGATGTACGCACTTCGGTTTATCGAGATCGTTTAAAGGCGGTTCTTTCAGCAAGCCAGAATCACAGCCACATGCGCACATGAAATCATGCACTACCTCGGTTTGCAGGTTTTGTCTGAGTGCATGGGTATAGTTTAGTGCTCTGCAACTGCCGACAAAAACAAGGGAATGCCTAAGCCCTTAGGGTTTGTGGGAAGAGTAATTGGAATGGGTATAGTAGAAGGCAGCTTTCAGCACTACAAGACACAGGGGTACAACCTTCAGCCTTCCAATCGTCCAAACACAATAAACACATCTGCAGCCTACAGGGGTACAGCCATCAATGCCAAACCAAGGCCCGAAACGCTAACAGCGGGGGGGCTTAGCTGTACGTATAGCGGTACAAATATATACAAAATTTACATATACATATCTAGAGGTGCCGTTGCTAGGGTTGTGCCATCATGCTGTGAGCACAAGCCGGGGAAGCTGCCATGTGTGCAGCAGCCGTAAAAACACAGCACAACGCCAAACACGACAGTGGCCGAAGCAAAGACCCATCCTGTCCAGACTTTGCCATGCTTGCTAGTTGCAACACCAGCACTAGCCGCAGCAACAAGTTGCACTAGGGCATGGTGCTGGCACAGCAGTCCAGCAACATCATGTGTGCTTGCTGCAACAGCTCTTCTTGAGCATGCGAAAAGAGACGCATGAAGACATACGAGCAAAGGCTCTGATGTTACAAGCTTTGTGTGCTGCATGCGGAGTAAGCACCTGTCAGACTGCTCATTGCTCACTTTGATGTTTTTCAGTCAGGTTATCTCTGGAATGCGATCTCCTTCCCGGCAAACGCTGGAGGAACAGTGGCAAACAAGCAATGTTTTTTGCTCTCTCGTTTGCCTCTTCGTTTGTGCTTTTGTTTGCTTTCGCTTCCTCCCAGAACGGTCGCAAGGCGCATAACAGAACACTTGATTTTGTTTCAAGGCATTCACAGCTTGGCTCGATCCCATTCACGGTTTGCTGCATGCAACCTGGCTTGAGTTCCCCAAGTGTCGAAAGCTGATTATAGCTGATTAAGATTTGCCCTGCTGTGGTTTCAGCTTTGGTTTCATATGTGTGGGCAATACGCAAGGTCATCATCGGTGGCATAATGGCATTTATTCAAGATGCGCCAGCAGATCCGGCATTCTTTCTCCATCACTCCAATGTAGAATGGGCGTTCCATTGGTGGCAAGTCAACAATGTTCTTCGCACGGACATCCTGACTGCGGACACCTTCAACTGCGCTACATGCGGACAGTCCATGGCTGGGTATGGTGAAGCCCGGGCAGAGTGGATGGGAAGCGGTTACGATGCAGTCCACCAGTGCATCATGATCCCCAAAACAGATCCTGTGGCGTGTATTGCCTATGAGCCGTTTAGCAATGCGCAGCCAGGGCCAGGAGGTTTTGCAGGACTTTTGTCTCCTAACTTGGGATCAGCTGTGTCACGATCGGCTTCGGATTGCAATCTCCTCATTGCCAAGATGGAGATGGGCCAGTGTCCGCCGAATGTGCTGCAGGACGTTGCCAGGACTTGCTGAGACGAAACTGAAATTTCATGCTCGCCTTGGATGCTTCGGTCATCATGTGGCACTTCAGGTCAGGGCATTGGTCGGCTTAGCTTAATTGTTGCGTCTGGAGAAGACGTGGCGAAGTGTATCTGTCTGTCTGCGATCCACAGGAAGCCTCTTTGATTCTAAGCCATTGACCAGGAAATCAACAGCAAGTTCTGGGCAACAGTTCTTTCAACGAGATAGGCTAAACATCAAGGGTTGTGGCGTAGTGGAGGCAAAGTCCCGGGTCAAATGGCCACACCCAGGACGCTTTGCGAAAGAAGATGCAAACTTGGTATGGAATGCGGTAGCTTTCAGAATTGTCGCATCCTCACATGTTCCTAGCAGGGACCACCCCAAGTGCTCACTCCGATGCCCCAATTCAAAAGCAAGGAGTGTCCACATCAGACCAGAGCGAAAGCATGCGAAAGCCAAAGATGTTTGAAGGATCTTTGAATCACCTTCTCAACGAACGTGCCGTTCCAAGTTCTTGACCTTAAATGCGGAATACCTTGTCATGAGCCCGAACCCTTAAGGAAGCATGCGCTGCTTTTCTCGCGGTGATTCCTGTCGTGTTTGCCTTTTTCTCCACGTCTCTAGCTATCGCAACAGATGTGAGTAGTATCAACCTTTGGTTGTCCAGTGACATGTGTAGTTGCATAGGGGCCTTGTAGTGATACGTCGGGGTTCTAAGGGATGTCAAGACAATCCCTAATGTTGCTTCTCTGCTCAAAGACCTCGGGACGACGTCGTGCCAGCAGATAACCAAGAACTGTTGCCAATACAGAAGAGACAAAGACCTATCCGCTGACTGTGAAACTCCGGTATAGGCTGCCGCTACGTCCTTTCTCTTTGAATGCGGTGAATTCACCACAGAACACTACTAGAGTCATGTATGGGACAAGTCTGTTCTCTGTCAACTCTTTTGATTCGACAGCAGATCTGGCAGTGATACCTCAAGGCATAGCACCAAAATTCGTGTCCTTTCCGTCAATCACCAAAGACGACATACCAGCCTTGTAAAGATTTGGTTTGCGGTCGAGGGCTGCTTGTGCTCCAGTTCTGTCCCCCCACGGCTTGTGGTGTCCTTGGCATGTTGAATGGCCGTTTCAGGACCTTCCGCTTCAACAAGGAGGTTTTCACCACCGCATGTCGTGCTTTTCCCGAGTCTGGACGCGGATCCATGGATGCTGGATGCATTGCTCAGATGGAGCAGCAATGTGCTGACGCCTTCCGTCAAGCATCTAAGCGCGACGACCCTTTCAAGGTTGATAGTGTCCTTTGTGTGTCTGCGCATCGGGATCTGCCCCCACTTAACAAGCCAAGCAAGGTCGCAAGCGAGATCGAGTCGGACGATTCAACTGCTCCTCATGGCGACCCAGATAATGAGGTCGAGCGTATTAGTGGCATGAAGTGCTCTGAGGCCGTCAAACTGTGCTCATGAGCCAGAACTTCTTGGGTCTTGTTGCTCTGTCCGAGCACCTGCTCACAACCAGGCGCAGCACGGGCAGTTTTAATTATGGAGTTTTAAAAATCTCGCCGCATGAAAAAGTGCACTTCCGCACAGTTGAGGGATAGGACAGCGCTGCAGAAAGCATAGCGGCACAGCGTGTGCTTACGCTGTCCAGCATGTCGGCAGCTTCGGCTCAACGAGCTCAAGACGCGAAGACTTCTGAGATGAAGCCGACGATCTTTTTGTCAGCTAGCAGTGCTGGTTTTTGAGTTCACGCAACCTTACACCGTCCGCAACAGCCACGTTCGACACGCTCCGTGGAATGCTAAAGCATGTCGAGGAGGAGGAGGGTCCGAGCTTGCGCCGCCGCCTCGTACACGTTTGCTTCACGACTGTGTTGTTTTAGTTGTTTTCTTTAATTGTTTTTGCGTTTTGGCACAGAGGTTCTCGGCAGAGAGCCAGAAGAGCCAAGGACTTCAGAGCTGCGAAGCACACATCACGCACGCACATGACGCGCATGGTACCAGAATTCAAGCGCTTGAAGGAGGCTTTGTCCTTCAAGGAATCGCATTCACCAGATGTGCTGGAGGTCCTGGGCCCGCTTTGCTTCCTGCCAGTCGCTTTGAAGTGGCCAACCACTGCATCACCCATGGGTCTGACTGGGAGGTGCGACCTTGGTCTCAAGACCCAAATACGCCAAAATCCTGACGTCAACCCGTAACTAGTCTTGGCCACTTTGAAAGGTTACGACCATGGATGGATTCAGCGTGTGCTTGAAGAGTCTTTCAGAGGTGGATCTACTGTTTCCGCACATCTGATCGGATGCAAGCCGCATATCTGGCAGTGCATCATTGCCCGCCAAGAAGTGGCGCTGTGCCCTGGCCCTGCCGCTTTCTACAGCCAGAAACATGGGACATGGCATGACTATCCTGAGTTCACATTCATGAAAGTTGTGATATGTAGCCCAGTGAGACTTTAATGCGAAGCCTCGCAGCTAACCATCACACATCATCAGCGTGAGCCTGCGCAGCAGTCCGTAGCAGCACGACAAAGAGTGACCAGCCATAAGATTTTAGCCAGCTTCTGCACCGCCTACCGCCTGATGCAGCCTGTTGGTAGAGGGTTGAGAAGGCTGTAGCCAGGGCTTATCCTTGTCTTCGCCATGAGAATCCAGGAGGCAAGTTGCAATCTTTTTTTTCTTAGCGCCCCAATCCACCCCCCGCCCTCACCCCTTGCCAACCCGCCTGTTCACCGAGCAGGTGCGGTGAAGCTTTCCGCCTGCCTTCCTTGAGGCGCACCTTTTAGGACCAGTTTTTGGAGCGCATTCTGCACTTTGCAGCCACTACTGATGGCCAAATCAATGATGGCCCCATGTGCGCGTCATTCGGGTGTTGGTCCTGCGGTTGGACCCAAGTTACTCTTGAAGTTTCATGTGCCCCAGATGCAGGCGCCATGTCGTCTGCCAGCTGGCAGCTCAAAGCCATGGTTCTGTCTGGCATACCTTTCCATGAGGTCCCGGGCGTCCGAGAGGCAATGTACGACTGACAGTCGATGGTTTCACCCACGGCATGAAAGGTCGCTTCATAGGCCCACGACATCTCATGAAAAAAACACTTGTGATCTTAGCTTTCTCACCTTGGCTGCGCCTCAGGTCGAGAGCCCAAGCCGCGGCGTCCGTCTGAAGACCGGAGGCAGTGGGCTCTGTTGTTTCATTCGAGTTCTGCTACGAATTCTGTTTTTGTTTAGGATTTCTGCAACCCAAAAATGCAGGGAGCCGAAGGAGCCCAAGGAGTCTCGGGAGCCGCGGCCGCCGAAGGCGGGGAGTCGATGTCAGTCGGAGGTTGTTGGGGGGATGTGGGGGGATGATTCGCCAGCAGTCAGGGGAGTAGTCCAGCTTTTGTGGCGTTTGCATGTGCTGGGTGTACAAAGGAGAAGCGGGAGTCCAGCCGGACTGACGCGCCAACCTTGGTTCACGGAACTGGTGTCGAGTGAGCAGCAGTGAGCAGCAGTGAGCAGAAGTGAGCAGCAAAAGATCTTGCAACAATTTGGTGGCCAGGGCCGTGGTGAGCGGGATCGCGGCTGGCAGCCCAGACAGGAATGATGGGAGCACTTCGGAAGTGCCACTTCCTGGCGTGTCCCACTCGTACCCTGTGACCCGTGCATTTGGGCCTTTAAGTCGTGATGCAGAGCCTTGCAGTGGGTATGAGGGTTGCTGCGTGAAGCTTTTGGTTTGTTTTGCCTTCGTGCACCGTTCGCATGGCAGCCCGACACACTCGTTACAACTGTGTGAGGAGGGGAATCTTGAAAGCTGAACTAGGGAACTTCTCGTTCTCCGTCAATCTCGGTCTAAGCCCCCTTCATGACAGAAAAGCGATGGACTCAGTGTGGAGGAGAAGAGTAAATTCAGAAGAAAGTAGCAACATCAGAAACGACCTTCATGCAACGAAGTACGAACAAAGTGCGGAAGAGCACAAAGAAGAACACGTGCTATAAGAAAGATAGTCTAGACAATGCACGTGTGCAACATTGTTTTGTACTCGCTTTCATGCTTCTGGTCCATCTGGTGGATCCGGGAGTGCATAGTGACATAGTGCCTGCACATTGTTCTGTCATCAGGTTTTTATACAGATGCGCATTCTTCTAGCTTTTGCAGCTGGTTTTTGCGAGCCACAGCAGCTGCTGTAGACATGTTTCTGATGTCAGCAACTCATGAGGCGACCGAGACAGAGACCGCGAAAGCAGCTGGGCTGAATGTGCATTGTGATCAGCCCTGTGCAGCATCCTGAAACCCTGCTAAAGTTCTGTTCTGCGGTATATGATGGATTAGCTTGGCCAGTGCTGACTGTGGAAAGTTATTCGTTGAAGCAGACCCTGCGAGAGACTCAAGCATGCTCAAGCCTGCTGCAATCTGACGTAATGTGCGCCATGGTGACAGTTCTGCTTTTTGTCAGGAGATCGCGAGCGGCGACATCGTGGAGAGGCCCAAGAGCAATAACTCTCGGCTTTCCCCAGTGTGAGAGGGTGTGAGAGGGATGCTGCTTTGCTTTCAAGCAGAGATGCCTTCCCTGATTTGTCAATTCTGGCTCGATTTGACTTGCCTTTCCGGCGTTGCTGCTTTTGGCGAGTGGTTGGTGGTGAATACGCATCGGCAAGCAACTGTAGGTAAGGTTGTTGCGCTGCGCGGTAACTGTGAATCTGTTGTTGATGCCAACTATGGACGGTGCTTCACGGGGTGTTCATCCCATGTAGCAAGCAACTTTATTAATGCAAAAGGTATAGAACATGGCAACACCCGCGAACCTCGAGGGTGCAGGAGTCTGACAAGGGTCTCTTTGGTCCGCGACAACACAGTTCAGTTTTCTACATGATGTGCCCCGTCGCTGCCACACCGCGTCCTCAAGCTCCAGCCTGTGTACTCCTAGCTTTGAGATTTCGCGCCGGGGACATACACCCGCTCTGAATGCCAGCCACCAGTCCTCGGTCGGGCTCACATTTGCCATTATTCCCGCAATGGCCTTCTTCTCTTATCCATCCCCGACAGTCGATCGCTTATCAATCTGCACTTCATGTTTGGGAGCGTTGCCTTCATTCTTCACGCTGCCATCATCTTCCATGGTGTGCTTCTCCCCCTGGAACCGCCGTTCCACGATCGCAATCAACATATGATGGCGTAGGTTTGCAGCACCATGGGAGCCCCTGACCAAGTCCTTGAAACATGAGTGCTGATGCTATACCTCGGCTGCGTCTGGCTCTGGTAGCCTGGGTTCTCCCCCCCCCAAGCGCAGCAATGACTCTCAGCTTCACAGTTTGCTTCCATGTCCCGCTTTCTTGGTGCAAGTTGCAGCTTGGCTTGGCCCTCTATCAACCTGGGTTGGGCGGGAGGCTGATTTTGGTTTAGGTTGTTTTGTGCTGAGTCGAAACCTGGCCATGCTTGCGGTAGTTCTCCGCTACCGCTTGGTCTCCTGCAAGCATGTAGACGAGCGGCTTGGCCTGCTTCAGTGGACTTTTCGGCCCTGGCTGGCTTCTGTCTATGACCTCTGCCGCCCACTTCGCACAAACTACGGTATTTCGCCGACAGACTGCCCATTATCAAGTCGCTGGTGTTCCGCTTCTCTCCCGCGCACTGCCATACCAGCTGGTTCCACTTGGCTTTCCTCTCTTCACAAAGAGTTCAGAAGTCCGAGCGCTTGGCGTGCCGATCTCTCTGAAGCGCTTGTAGCTGCATGTCTCAGTCCCCGCTTTGTCACGCAGGTAGCTTTCTACGACCTGCGTTCTCGTCCACTTCGAATTCCCTTTGGCAAAGGCCCTTTGGCAAAGGCCCTTTGGCAAAGGCCCTTTGGCAAAGGCCCGCACTGCCCTGTGGCTTCGGCTGCCCTTGACAATGGCTCTCACATCGCTTCCTGTACAAGGCTTGGCCTGGCCATGCAACCCAACGTAAACTCGACGTAAACCTGGACATCTCCTGCTACTGGAGACGCTTGTGCAATGCTTCGTACTTCGTGCTTCTGAGCTACCGCAAGGTGCACTGTTGCGGCCGCTTGCCAGTAAATCTTCAGTTTGAGCGATAATTGTGGCGGTGCTTGCCGCCAAAGTTGGGGGAGGCATCCATGTCAGAAAGCATCGGCAGGCAGCGAAACATGAAAGCGAATGGATCAGGAGTCTTGCAAGCTAGTGCAGACACGATTACAAGCGAGAAGCTTGTTTGGACGCGGGGGTTTGCCGTCCCAACGAAAAAGCAAGTTTGCATCATCGTTGTTCTCCTCGGCAATATGGGCACGATCAGGTGTTATACCCACATTGAAAGGCGTCTGGCAACAGCGTTGTGTCAAGTTGCGTTTTCGCTCAAAAGACGACGCAAAGGCCGACGACGTCGAGCAAATTAGGAGGGAATGTGGAGCCGAAGGCTTCCCCCTCCTGCCCTTCAACGTAACACTGCCTAACAATACTTTCAACGCAACAGTGCTTTCAACGGAACAGTCGCAGCTTCCCATTGCCCAGAAATAGACTTGAACCGAGAAGAAGAAGGAAAGAAGACACAAAAGGCCTAGTTCAGTTTCCCTCAGTTTTCACAGTCAAGATTCGTCAGTGAGCTGTCGCCGCAATCAGCAGGATGTCATAACACTATGATGGTCAAATCGCCTTTCCTTTTTCGGATGCCAGGCCTCACTCAAAGAGCCTGGCCGAGAGAAACCCTCTTCCACTTCGCCTGTATCTCCGGCACGGGAGGACTTTGATTGGGCCGGGCACAAGATAAGAATTGTGTGCTGTCTCGGCTTGGATTTGCGGCAAGTAAGGGTGATGGGCAAACACTGCCTCTGCTTCCTAAGGCGCCCATTGATGTAATCAAGAATGTTAAAAGCTGTTGCAGCTTTTGCTATGACAGCTTGACCCACTGGGGCATGCCAAAGGACTAAGTTTTCAAGTAGCTGTTAGCTTCTCATGTGTTCCAAATCCTCGATCTTTCATGTAGACGCAGGATCAGGAGTCCTATCTTGACAGCCTGATTGCCGATTGTACGGACAAGTACGCAGCTCAGCATTGCCTGTGTGCAAAACCAGAAAGTTTTCCATATTTTGAATTCAGACACACTCGAATGGATCTAGTGGGGGTGCTTCTGTCAGGCGACCTGATGTTGCGGCACCTGCCCAGTCCTCGGGCGCTAGACGGTTACTGCAGCGCTGTCCGCAATGGCAAAGCAATGGTAAAACATGCTTAAGCTCAATACCGTCACAGAATGTGGAATCTGGATCGAAGGCTCACGCACGAGACATGCCAAAGCGCCCGTCTTCCCGTGCTGTGCTTGGATTCAGGGTTCAGGTTCTTCACCCACAACTTTTCAAGATTTGCCTTTGCTCTGCAGGTGCTGACTCGCGGCCCAAAGGCAGCGATGGCGAGCGCCGAGCGCGCAATGTGGAGGAGACTGTGCTGGGCTTGGGGTTACGGTTGTGATGCGGCTTTTTCCAGCCTTGCATATTTCTGTTATTTGGCCGGATTCTGCAGAGGAGATGCCCCGTGAACGCCCGGAGGCCTCTGCTGCGATTTGCTGGGCAGGTAATCCCATAGCGCGGATGGTGGAGATTGTCCATGAAAAGTCAGAAGGGTCGAGCGGCCCATTGTGAAACAGCTCAGTAGACTTCTGGCAAATCGGCCACGTACCGGGCCCTATCCACTTCCAAGCTACCCGCGGAGGCTCCAAGTGGTGGCTCTGGCCTTAGAGCCTTAGAAGTAGCTCTGGTCTCGATCCGAACCTACCATTTGGATACCCAACGATAAGTGCTCTTCGGGCTTGTGGGACGATGCTGAGGCCCGTCTCCGGAGCGTGAGCGTGAGCGACGTTCAAGGCTGCTGCACTCTAACGTTCAATGTCTCTGTAGTAGTTTGCTTTGCAATGCTTGATGTGGATCATGCATTACAGCACATCCGATCTAATTCAGCACCACAGCATCACGACGCTTGTAGCCCTCCTAGCCCTCTCGACACTTGCTTGGAGAAAATGGAAAAGGCAAAGCCAAAGCTCATGTAGCCCTGACATCAACCACGTGGCATGAGGCGAGGTGAGGAGCGGGAGAAGAAGGCCAGAGTTCTTCTGGTAGTGGTCTGTGCTGTAAGGTTGAAGGTCAACAAGCCACCGTGCGTGGTCGTGTTGCACGAGCTGACCCAGCGTAATATGAAATTCCACATGTGCAACTGGCTCGCTGGTGTGACTCGAGGAGAAGAAGGAACGCAGTGAACGCAGTGAACGCAGTGAACGCAGTGCTCGAACCCCAACAGCGACAGTGTGCGAGCCGTGCGAGCAACCTTGAGCAGGGGAAGTATGGAGCAGGACATCAAAGATGTTTTGCACAACCTTTGGCGGGTTCTTGCATCATACAGCGCTGCCGGTGTTGGCTCATTTCATAGGCGTTCTGGGTGTCGCCACTTGTGCCATTCCTTGGTTCCGCTGGTCATCGACCTTGCAGGTTGGCAACCTCTTTGGTTTGCCATGAAATTGCAGGGACAGGTCGCAGAAGTAATCAGACTTGCTGAACATGTTGCTGAACTGCTGAGTCTGCCTAGCTCTCAACCTTCATGCGTTTTGTGCCTGCATGAAGGGCCATGGCGATGCTCCTGTCGAGAGCCTTGCGCTCGGGGCACTTGAGCTCTTACTCGGCGTGCCTTGGCTTTTTCTCGAGCAAAGGCAAGAACGTAGGCGACTCCACGTAGATAAGTCGTGTGTCGTGCCTTGCTGCTGCTTTCATCAATAAGTCTAAGTTTTCCGAGGGTTGGAAAGTTCTCGCACTTCTCGCTGCGCCAACGTTACACGCAGATGCTGAAGGCGCAAACGGTGCAGCCCCCAGTTGGCAGAAGACAAGCGTGGAGGGCAGGCTAGAAACTACAGTGCGCAGGCAAGAGGAGTGTGCATTTCTTCCCCCTCACGTGGTTGCAAAGGATCCCGCGCTCGCAGACTTCTTCTTTGAGAATTACCTCCGAGCATTCTTCGCCGACCCGCCTTCTTACAACTACTGGCAGAGAGCCCAATTTTGCTGTGATATCCTCTGCTGCACTGCTTGCAGCTTGCCGCACTGAGTTGCTTGCTGAGGTTCATCAGCATTGCAGCCTTCGGTGCCTGTGTTGGCATCCTAACACGCAACTTCTTCTTCAACCCGGATGCTCCACACTCAGCTCCTTCACAGTCCTATGTTTTTTGCATGTTGCCTTGCCTGCTTCCTGCCTCAATGAGGTCATGTTCCGCTATCAGGAGAAGCGAAAACCTTTGCCTGACCGCCACAGGCACCGTCTTGAGATGGTCCTGTGCATGCACGGTTCATACCAGGTATAGCGTAGTTTTAGCCCACGTGGTTGTTAGCGGCCCTGCGTATAACCCTAGTTTCGGCACTTCTTGATGACTTCTTGCGGTTTTCTTGTTGCGGGGTGGGAGGGGGATAAGAACGTCATTCATATTGCGTCCATGCTCAAAACGCTGGTATTTACAGCGTTTGCGCCTCTTCGTACAACATACTACACAAGGACGTGGAACAAGAAAATTTGTCACAAGCGTCCATGCCTTTCGCGACCAAAACCGTGCTTTCCGTGCTTAACGTCTCTGGGCAACCCCAAAGCCCTAAACTTGAACCGCTGCAAGCCCGTTGCACCCGGAACACTCCAGCCCCCAAAAGAACGTGCGAAATGCTGGCGGGTGTGGCACTTTTCAACATAAGACCACATTGCAGTTACCCCGTTCCACCCTGAACGCTCACAAAACACAAAACCCGAAAACGTGCAGAGATCGCAGAAACATATCCCCAAAATGCACACTGCGAAATGCTGAAAACACTGCCAGGCATGGTACTTTTCAGCAACACACCACCTTACAGTCACTCCAAGTCCTGAAAAACAAATGCTGCCAAAAAGCCCCTTTGAATGTGCGAACGCTGCCCTGCGTGGGTTAACACTACATTTCCTGGTGCAGACGGTCCAGGGCCGCTAACTGCCGCGAGGAAGTCTCAAAGATCTCCATCTCTTGTGTTGAGCGTGGAAGTGGATGACGTGACTCCTGGCAGCGCACGATTTTGCCCAACCCCAGAGCCCGAAGGGACTTGCTATGGCCTGCTTTCGGAAACAATCAGCCAAATCAGCCACAAGGAGACAAGGCCCGGCCAAACTTTTGGGGATGTCGCCAGGCCAGACAATGGTTGTGCTGGAAGTGCGGGTGCTACCAGCCTGGTGGCTAGACCAATCCAGCCTACGACAAAAACTCGCTGGATCTGCGGTGCCGTGCGAAAGGATCATGAAATCATAAATGCTTTCATTTCCGTGCTTGAAAGTGTGGTCAGATGTCGGACAAAGATGGACAAAGTAAAAGCCCCGTTGTTTCTCGCGTATTTGTTGGACCAGTCCTGGCGTGTTTGGGCCGACTTTGTCTTTGGGTGGCTCGTGCGTACTCTGCAATCAATCTATCTGGACAATCTGGACAGGCAGTGGACGTACTCTCTTCCCTTCTTCAACCACCGCCTGCGAGCCTGCCTCAGTGGAGCGCTGCAACATGCTGCAACTGTTCAATGTATTTCAATGTTTTCACTTATGGCATGTTGGCCTCATTGAGCTGTCGATGGCTAGTCATTCGTGCGTAGCAGCTGGAGGCATGATGCCGTGCCAAGCGCCGTTTTTTTAACAGAGTGACTCTTTCATGGGATCTGAGGCAACATGTGCTGCAAGTACAAGCCGGCGACCCAGAAGTCTCAACGGTTGAGCGTTGTGTTCTGCGACAAAGCCATACGTATTCCGAATGCTGTTTCAGAGAGTAGCCCTGTTGGACGTTTGTCAGGGCCTGCATGATTGACAATGAGCCGGACTGGGCTGATGACCACCCCCTGGGCTACCGCCCAAACCGAAAGCAGTGCCACAGGACAGGCGCTTTACTTTCGCGGAAGCGTTTTGCAAGCAGGCATGTTAAGCACTCAAAGCGCGTTTGAGTGAATTATCTTACAAAGGGGGATGTCCGTCTGAAGGATAGGACCAACCTCGTCCGGTCGGTGGACCCCGTATGAGCTGCTTATGCTGCTTTCGGGGAATTCAAGCGAGCCGCCTCGGCCGGGGCCCGTGGCCTCGGCCAAAACGAGGCAAGGCCGCCACCCCCAGCCACGGCCGTCGCGCGGTCCAACCCCAAACGTTCCCTGGTATTGACGCACCGTCCGCTCCCGGATGCCAGCTAGGAAGGGGTGAAAGGGTTGCAAACGTGACCTGAAGAGGGATGAGAGGTGGGGTACCGGCTTTATGCTGCCCAGACTCCCACGGCCAAAGGCCTCGGCGGATTCCTCGGAAGGGTCGGGAAGGGATGCGATGCGATGAAACTCAGTTCTGCTGTGGTAAGACAGGCGCCCGTACATGTGGATCCTCACCATCCCTCGCTACACCATTGAGGACTCGGGATACCAAACAGACACTGTGCAAGTAGCAAGTTGCCGTGAATGCCGCGAATGAATTTGTATCAAAGCCCGTTGACAATGGTGGGGGCAGGTTTTCAGGGTCTAAGGGGCCCCTAAAGCGCTGGGGTCGACATCGCCTCCTTGCAGCCTTAGACAGGAAAACCCCATGATGCTCATGATGCGCATTGCAGTGGCCAAATGCCTGCAATGCACACCTCGATGTTCCATTGCCAGAGCCAGAGCCCGTGGACTGGGGACAGTGAGCATGAACGCATTCCACTGCCTGAGAGCTGGGCTTCAGGCTCAAGCCCCAAAGTTTAGACTCTAGATTTGCAGGCCCCAGGCCCCAAGCTGAAAACTCTGTCAGGCAAGTAACGTCCTCGACAAACGCAGGGAATGCAGGTGTAGCGGTTCCAAACATTTTGCCGCCCGAGCGATTCTGCTGCGCTTCTTTGCTGCTTCCCAGTTTGGTGACGGTGTAGGATCCGTTGTACACCTCCGTGACCCATGAGAACATGAACCGCATCTACGAGGAGCACGTCTCTTCCAGCAAGTTCTGCACGATGGAATTGGGGCTTAAGCACGGTTCTGGACATGGTGCTGTCAAATGACACCAGACTTTGTTAAGAGAAGATGTTGCTGATGTGCTGCCTCGGATCTGCAGGAAGTGGGTTACACCAAGCCGGCCAAGACCGAGGAGGAGTGAATGGTGCTACTAGCTCTGACAGGCCGACATGAAGCAACAGCCGTCACCGAGGAAGGACTTCACATCAAGCTTTGATTCGCAATTCCCCCGCTTCGTGCTTCTTCTGGCTGGAAGTGTCCTGTATTTCCGAAAAGTCAAACCTTGCCTTCAAGAAATCGTCACTGCAGGTACACAACAGAACACATCAGACTATAGAACTGTATAGAACTGTGATGTTCTGTGCAGGCAGCTTGCAATGACGCCTCGCAGCCTGGTCGCTGCCATTCTGAGCTTGCGCGCTATGCAAAAGCTCGACTGACTAAACCTTGGGCTAGTTTACCACTTCACATATCCTGCTTCTGCTTGCAGCTCGTAGCAGCACAGTGTGACAGCATAGTCTTTGTGATAACAGTTGACCATGTTCTCACACCTGCGCCAGTGCCCCGGCCATCATTCATAGGTATCGTAACAGGCATGTCGATCATAGGTACCTTCATAGGAAGTTCGCTGGCACGTTTGGTTTGGGCCTGGTCTTCCAGCAAATTATTTGGCGCGGTTTTTGCACATCGGGTATCATGCTTTGAAGGAAAAGCGCTCGGGGTTTTGACACCGGCTGCAACGAGAGGGGACCCAAAATCTCCGAGAGTGCCAACTCAGCCACAAAGATGAGGCTCGCGAGCCCCGACCGCCTGAGGGGCCTCCCGCAGAGGCTTCTATGTGTGTGTTTGTGTGTGTGTTTGTGTTTGTGTTTGTGTTTGTGTCTTTTTTCATCCGAGTTTTGTTCCACCGAGTGGGGAGCTTTCAGCTTTCTTTCGCTTTGGAGTTGACGGAGGAAGCGGCAGCGCCACGGGCACCCGCTCCGCCTCCGGAGAGGTCCGCCGATCACCTAAAGGAATTTCGGTTCTGTTCTTGAAATTCTGCGTGGAAGAGAAAGACTGCCTCTGTACCAGGGAGAAGAAGCCCCGGCGACCTCACAAGGAGGCTGCCTTGCGCGAGCGGATGTGCTTGGGGAAGTTAGAAGAGGGCCCCTTCGGCAGACATTCGCAGCGTTTAAGGCTTACAACATGTTACAACTTGCCGAACACGCTGCCAAAGGCGTCGGAGGCTGTAGAGGAGGCCAGCCAGCCACAGGCGCTGCTTTGTAGTAGCAGCTGCTTCACGTAGGCTGGAGCAGATGCACTAGGCACTCTTGAGATGATCTTCTCATTATGGCGATGGTTAGGGTAACCTGCACAGCTGTATCTACTTTGGGCAAGGCCCAGGCTCCAGTTTGTTGGACCATGCTATAGGCACCGCCACCGGCACGGCCGACCAATGGCCGGAAAGCCAGGGCCCAGTCCAGTACTCGCAGTATCTTGCAGTGCTACTCGGGTAGTGCGGGTTGTGTAATGCTAGGAACACGACGTTGACCAAAGCATCGTTGTGCAACATACTGCAATGTCAGCACTCATCTAGCCACTGCAGGTAGAGGCACCCCATGTGGAGGAGGACAGGGTTTGCGGCACTTGAGATTTTGTGAAGATGTCTTGGACTTTTGCATTCGTACTGACCTATGTATGTTGAAATATGCTGACCTATGCAGTCCTTGCCTGCATTGTTTGGGCCGGGCCCGAAGGGCTGGAGCAGAGGGAAGCCTTTCACAGCATCATCTGGCGCTTTGCGGTATACATCTGAGTCATAACCTGATGCATTTTACAGTTACATAGATATTATTCAAGAGCGCTACAGTCGGACCAAGTTGCTCTGTAAAATGCGCGAGAGTGGCAACGAAATGCACTCTAAAGCTGACAATAAGCTGACGGAAAGAGAGATGCACAATGAGAGTCAGACAAGGGCATGTTAAACTCCCAAAGGCAGGAAAAGTAGCGTTAAGACGAAGGATGAAGGTCGTGGTGAGTGTTCTTCAATATAGGCGTCCTTATGCATATTGGTAACTGTATGAGGTGCCCTTTTGGGGATACTTGCAGTAGCCCCACCTCATGTGAGCAGTCTTGCTATGAGCAGTTCCGCGGGCAGGTTTGTAAGCTCTGATTGTTGCCACTGTGTGGCTTCATATCTTCACATCCGCCCTGTATGTGTTGTGTGAGGAGATTGAGGTTCACGCCCCAGCGCCACCTGCGCCAAAGCCTGCGGAGGCAGTGACGCTGTCAACCATGCGCCAAGGGAATGTCGGTGACAGCGTGACAGCTAGCGGCTCGCGCTGATGCAACGAGTCGCCCTAAACCGCCCTAAACCTGACCTTTGGCTTGGACCTTGTTAAGCCATCGTCTCTCGAAGCCTTCCTCGTTCAGTCTTTGCACTTGCTCGCACCTGCTCACATGTACCTACCGTGCGCAAGCTTGGCTCAAAGTGCTGGCCTAGCTCGCCATGCAATAGGCACTGGTGAGTTCTTTTTTCCCTGCTATCAGCTTGAGTTGTCCCTTCGCCTGGTCCTTGCTCCGAACAGCGTCTCAAGACACTCGGAGGAACATTAATTTTGATTATCATAGTTGTTGCCAGCAGTGTGTTGGATGGCGTTGCAAGCGACTGCTGCCATCAAGGATGTCGTTCCGCGAACTTCGGAACTTCTGTGAGATCATGAGATCACTCGGGTATCACCGACTGGTCTCCATGGCAGCTTGGCGCGAGTTTGTCTGTAGTATGCTAGGATGTGTTGGGGCAGGGCCAGGGATTCCTTCGAGTCTCCTTTTCCGACATTTTCGCTTGAACCGGGACATTGGATGCAACAGCCTCCCACCCCCCCCCCCCCAACTTGTAAAGCTAATCGCCTGCTGGGATCTGATTTAATTTCTCCATGCCGCGGGCAAACCTTGCCTCAGGACAACTTCCGTCACTTGGCCACCAAATGTTCGCCATCGTTCTTGCCGGATACCTTGTGCACAAGCCCTTGAAGCTTTTTCATAGCGTCTGCCTTGAAAGGAACTCCCAATTTCGAGCTCGTGGCTGACATTCTGGATTGGCTTCTGCACCGCTTCGAGCCCGGCTGCGCCATTCCGGATGACATCAGCCCGCCTGCTGGAATGATTGAAATGATGTGGTGGGGGGGGGGAGAATGGTGGTGGGAGCTGTGAGAGAAGCGGACGATTTCCGCCATGGTCACGACTGAGGCACTGAAGCCGATAGGGTCTTGTTCATCAAGTCTGTGGTTGAGCATCTTGGTGCCAACATGTGGTCTCCATGAAAGATCAGCTCTCAGCCGCTTCATGCTCCTTCCATTTGCTGTGAGGAAGGTGGTGCTGAAGACCGGCCTCAAACTCAATCCCAAGAAGCTGTACGGGGCCGATGGCTACGCAGTCAAGGCCTCGACTAAAGGAACATTGCAGCCTTAAAAGGCGGTCAGATTCGCTCTTGGCCAGCAGCTGCTAGACAAGCAAACGAAATCCTGGAACTTATGTCGTAGTGCTGACAGGAATTGCTCCGCCTGGCGCAGGTGTTGTACGAGGATGGGTCGGGCATAAAAACTCGCTTCTTGCTTCACGAACATGATTTAATTAGTTGTATTGTAGCCATCGTACCTCGAATGACTCTAGAATTGGTGGGGTCGACTTGGAAAAGCAAGAAGCGGAATCACGTCATGGCCACCTTCTCGATTTGTTTTTCTAGTCTCCCCAAGCAGCAGGTGTGGCTTTGAGAGCTTCAGGGTCCTGTCAGTCCTGTCTGATTCTCTGTCGCAAGGCGCAGCGATCCGTGTCGGAAGTCCCTGCAGAGGGCCGTGGCGAAGACTTCGCACTCAACTCAAAGCCGCTTGGCACAACTGAAATCACGGGAGCGATGATTTCAGGGTGACGCGACACGGTGTCAGGCGACTGTCCTGCAGTTTATTGTTTCCAAGGCTAGCCGATCTCAAGAGCGACTTGGCTTGTGGGATTGCAAGTTTTCTGAAGTTGAGCCAGGATTTCACAAGGACTGATGCAGGCTCCGTGTTCTAGTGGAATCGTTTTTGGAAGTCATGAGCATCTAGCGGGCAGGCTGGTTGCACAGTACTTGCTTGCTGTCAGCTGCAAACTCAGGCACACGCTCGCTTTGCTCACAGATCGTTGAGAGCGGGGCGACTCTGTTTGAGCTGTTGCAGAAGGATCATGGCTGACTATTTTTGTTATTGCTCGGCAGGATGCGTGCTTGACTCTGTGTAACCACAAGTTGCATAGTCTTGGCGGCGTGAAGTCTAATCGCATTCACAGGTTCGGTTTCCCACTTTGACTATCCTCCATGATACCATGACTCTGTTCGTACCTGCAGGAGCAAGAGGTCCGACAAGACCGAGAAAAAGCTTTGAGCTTCTTGGAAGGGATGTCTCGCAACCTGGGCGACTCGGCCATGGAGCATCGCAGAAATCAGATTTGCAGACGCTAACTGTGCCCAGCTGTGCGCCCGGCTGCGTGCTCTTTCACCATGTCAAAGGCAGCAACACCGAGAACGAGATGGTAGAGCGTGCCGCTCCTGAGTTGCAAGGATTGCGCCGACAAAAAACTCAAGAGCAGCGCTCAGACTGGCAGAGTGCGGCCCTGACGCTGAGGTTTCGCAGCTGCTGGGCAGCCACGGGCAAAATCTCGAGCAGCTTAAGCAGATGTCCGATGAGCTCCAGCGGGACGAGAAGAGCCTGCATCCTCAGCAACGTTGAAAGGCAACCGTGGCTGTGTTTTTGATGCATGCAAAAAAGAGAGCAGCCTCAGGTTTGGAGCAGAAGATCAAGAAGAAGAAGCAGGACCAGAACACGCCGGGGGGTTGAACATTGCTGAATGAAACGCGCTTTTTCTGAGTGGCTCTCCGAATGACGTTTTGTACGACTCCCTCAGGGATGAACGACTCTTTGTAGGCTCTTTCTCTGTGTTTGTCGAAGGAGCTGGAGCGCTGCCGAAAGCGGCTGGGCTCCTTGGCTTCGGTGCGGCCTGCCTTCATGGACGAGCCGCTTGGAGCACCACTTAGAGGGGAGAAGCAACGGAGAGAGAGACAAAGGAGGTGTTCAGTGTTCAGCTCCAAAGTGGAGGAAGCGCCGAAGCCCACGATTTCTCGGACTCCCGCATGGCCAGGTACGAGACACTGGAGCAGGAGCTCGAGAGATATTACGAGCAGCACCTCAGCGACACGGGACTCGTCTGCTTCTTTTGCGTTTTTTTGCCGCCGCGAACTTTTGGTGGCTCTGGTGGGCAAGCTCGGTATGCAGAACACGTGACGCCAAGGTATGTGGGGCGCTTCCGAAATCTGGATTACCTGGAGCATGCTGCTTGGTCCAATTTTGCATTGCAGCTGTCAGAAGTGGTTAGGAGAGATCCAACTCTGTTCGTAGCTATGGCAGGAAATCGACATGCTGAACAAAGAGGCGTGGCAATCCACGCAAGAAGTCTGTCAGTCTGCGTTGTGGAGTACCAAGCCTCAGAACTTAGCATACTAATCAGTGTCCTTGCCTTGTGCTTCATGGATGAGGAGCAGGAGCGCATGGAGGAGAACGACCGGGCTCTCAAGCGTGCCTTTGCTGTGGAAGAGTGTTGGGGGCCGGGCTCTGTGAGATGTGTTCAGCTCCAAGACATTGAGTCGAGTCTCTCACCAAAGGTATGCAGAAACGCCTACGCGACGAAGAGTGGAGGTTACTCCGTGGCGAGGAGGACATGCGCTGCCCAGATTGCATAGTGGTTCATAGTGGTGTCCAAGAGATCTTCACGTTCTGGTCAGGACGATAAGGGGAAGGCCCGGAAGCCAAAGAAGATCCACGGCCAGAAGAGGCTACTATGGAGCCCTCTTCCCGTGCATCTCCTAGCCCTAGCAGTCCCCAGCATCTCCCAGCTGGTTTTCTTGTTTTGACAGGTGGATGCCTCCGTCAGCTGTGGATGCCGTGGATGGCTCCATGGAAGCCGGGGATGATGAGGCCCATGATGCTGACGACATCGTGTATTGATTTTTACTGATCCGAGTTGATGCGAGCTGATGGTGCCCACTGAGGAGTCCTCTGAGGGCTCCAACAGCGACAGCGACCCGCCCATAAGTGTGGGAGGTCTCTTGGCGCAAGTTTTGGGTTGTTCTTGTGCGTTGTTCTTTTTTTTGCACTGTTCTCTTATGCTTCCTTTTTCCATCTCTTCCCATTTTTGCGCTGGTTTGTGCTGTTCTCCTTTTGTTCTCCTTTTCTTTCTTCAGGTTCAGAGGACTCCGGCGGCTTGGGCCCTGGGCCTCGCGGAGTCCTCGGCCCGGAGCGCGAGCGCCGCCTGGCTGCGAAGCCTTCACCGAAGCCCTCACGGAAATTCCCCCGACATTTTTCTACGGCGCATTCTGCGACATGGCCTTTCTTTTGGGGGAACTTATGTAGAGATGAGCTCCACGACATGCGAGGTGCAAGCTAAAGTATAGTCCTGCCACTGACAGGTGCCGTCTCGCCTCCAGATGGCTCCGTGCTCATTGGCGGTGGAAACAGTGTGCCGGCAAAGCTGCAATCAGATCGTTGGTGGTTGGTGTTCGGCATGCAGCTCGCGATGCTCTGAAGAATGTAGAAGACTAGGGATACTGCAGTCATCCGCAGACAGTTGCCCACTCATGTCGATATGGGCCTTCATGCCACTCTCCTTTTCCCCAAGGTCCGACGATGAGATTCTCAACGAGTCTGATGATGAGGAGGAGCTTTCAGATGAGGCCGCTCTGCCAAACATTTTGGATGTGACTACGGGTTACTTTCAGCTGAGCTTGGACGAACTGAGGACATAGGAGGGTCGGGACGGATGCCCCAACCTGGAAGCGACTTTGACTTCTGATTGCTGAGTGGACATCCGTGCAGGGGATGTCAGCACAAGAAACAGATCCTCACACATGACAGAAATCGCTCTGTACTTTCGCAGCACTGTCGATCTCCCACACGGCCCAGATGTGGCAGGGGGTCGTGAGTGCGGCGTACCGTCTGTGGAGATCCCCCCCATGCAGTTTCACCCTGGACACAATTCACATCTGCAGCTCTCCTCTGACAGCAAATGTTCACAGCACGTTTGTGTTTGTCTTGGATTGGTTATGCAGGTCAACTTTAGATGTTTCTTCGGCAGTCTGGGTGTTGCATCAAGGAGGTTTGCGTGCAGGACTGGAATCCACAGATGAGTTTCAAGCCCATGGCCATGCAATACCTGCATGCACCAAGGGCGGTGTAGTTAGTTCTTGGGCTGCATGGCTTTTCTAGGCCATGCAGCTTGAATGCATGTCTGGCAGTCCATTGTGCAGAGGAACCATCACGTGGAGGCATAGCAATTTGGGAGCGGTTTGTGGCTGTGACCGCTTGAGCCTTCCCTTTTCACGGTTGATGGCTTCTTCTCATAGTGTCCAGGAAGAAGTGGATGACATTGAGTATGATGAAGACTTCGAGGAGGCGGATGACGAGGACATTCTTGAGCAATAGCACTTTGCGTTGAAGCCCGCATATCGTCCAAGAGACATGTTCAGCTAGCCCGCAAATTATCGCAAATTGCATGTGCTCAAGTTTTGCGACCATAGCTGCTCACACATCGACTTTGTGTTTGGAGCGCTGAACCCACCCATTGCAAGCCGTTGCAAAGCTCCAGGAGGAGTATATCCCGCAGATCAAATCTTCGTCGCCATCGCCACCGAGCCAATCGCCAGATGGGCGGCTTGGACTTGGCAGTTCCCTATTTGCAGCTGTTCGGTCTCTCGGCCTTTAGCCGAACTACTAGCGCACGGAGTGACTCCGTGTTTGCGATAGATACAAGGGAACGAGCGAACAACTGGCCGGTATGAATTGGAAATGGCTTTCACGCTGAGAGTTTCGTTCCAACTGTGAAATCGCCATCGCATGAAACAGCCGTCAGATTGTACGCATCCACAAGCAACATGGACGGGTGCGGCACATTGAATCTGTGACGGCACGATTAGCATGATCTGGCGTTCAGCTTCGAAAGAACTGCAACTAGCTTCGTGGCTTCGCTCGGCAAATGCACTGACTGGCATCCTCCAGCTATCGAGCTGCTGCCTGCTTCCCTGTGACTCAGCCCGACTTGCCAAGGACACCCAACAAGGCGCTCCCACAATGAGGGCAGGGCTATCGGGGCCAAGACCAATAGGTGACATTCCAAGAGTTGCGCGGTGGCCTGTGCTGACGATGCCAGGTCACCTTCCGACCAATGTCCTCCCAGTCCCTTCGTGCACCGACTCCCCCACTTGGGAAGGCGCTCGGCAGGTCGTGGAGTCGCTGCCTATTGTTGCTTTCGCTTCAGCTGGACAGGAGTCACCCGTGTCGGCGTCAGCTATCAAGAAGGTGTGTGGATAGTATGGATGCTGCGACTGTCTTGTCCACCAACTTCGCATCAGTCTCCTCAAGGGACGAGTGAGACCCATGCTTCAGGCGACGCAGAGTGAGAACGAGAGGATGGCGAGGACTTCCGCTCTTTCGCTATTGCTGCTCTCACAACGTGACATCTTCTGCACGTTCAGGAAGTCACCGATGCCGACCTCGCCAGACATGGGCAGGAAGTGTATTTGGGTGTATTTCGCCTTCGCATGCCATTCTCAGTGCCACCTTTCCAGCGCTTTTGATGTACATGGTGACAGGAAACGAGGAGGGGGGCTGATGGCGGAGTACGAGTCGACCATGCCGAAGTTCAACTTGGCTGGCAGTGCCCCAGCTGCATCCCTGAGCCTTTCGAATCTTCTCACGAGCCACGCAGCCTAAGGCGTAAGCCTTTGGCCCCAAAACAAAGGCATGCGAAAGCCAGTGTGGATGGAGGCTGAAGACGCTACTCTGAGCAGAGCCGAGGTGCTTCACCTGCCCAGCGCGCAGCTCTTGCAAGGTGGGATACATGTGGATAACGTGGAAAAAGAGCGTTTGGTGTGTTATTGTTCTGCAGTCGTCTAAGTCTTCTTCAAAGTTCAAAGCACCCGCCAGGCTACGTGACCTTCGGGACTTGCAAATTCCGCGCAAGCTCGAGTCTGGGTCAAGCACATCCCACGCAGATGTGGACAAGCTTTGCAACTCATGTGATTCTTCCCCCCCTCCCGATAACCTCAAACCCTAAACCAGCGTAAGCGCAAGCTATCACCCATCAACTTAAACCCTCAACCGTAGTGAACCTACAGCTGAAACCTAGGCTCTAAGCCCTCAGCTTAACCCTTTCAAACCTAATAAGCTCTGGATAAAGCCGAGAAGCCCTGCAAAACTGTGTGTTGGGTACATCCCGATATTCACAGGCCTCCCTTGCCAATGCCCTGCCATACACTGGCACACGCAAGCGCACAAAGCGCACACGGAGAATTTTGTATGTTTCGAGTCTGAGGCTTGGTGTTGAGACTGGAAATCTCTTCCAGCAGAAGCCGCAGCAGGCCTGGAGAGAGTTGCAGTGGCACCTTGAAACACCCAGGAAGGTACAATGGTTGGGGATTTGTTCGGGATGCTGCTGCCTGCGTGGTGTTGACTGATTCTAATGTGTTTGTGAGTCTCTGGAGGACATCCAGCTCTTTCTTGCTGGAAAGTCGTTGAAGTATTGTGCCTTGGCTGCCTGAAGTTGCACTGTTTCACCAAGCTGGCAAGACAGTCTTTTCTGGCCTGCCAGAAGGGACCACGTCTGTTCATGTGCAGGGCACCGATGTGTGCAGCATCTCCACCAAGGCAAGCTGAAGACCACCAGCTGCCAGACAGGCTTGGCTCAAAAGTAGATGCCGGACGGAAAGCAACAAGTCCATGATTCTACTTCAGACAGCAGGGTCGAGAGTTGAAGGGTTCACTGTATCTAGTCTTGGCAGGGAGGCGAGGAGGGCGAGGAGGGCATTGGATTGATATGACTGATGCACCGGATGCACCTGTACCTTGATGCAGCGGTGTCAAGACACTGGCATGTTCTGAGCGCGTGCATGGCACATGCACCGCGTAAGCGCACTTGTCCATGCTTGCCACTGTGCTTGCCACTGTGCTTGCCACTGTGCTTGCCACTGTGCTTGCTTGCAACCGCATACGTGGGCGCTTGCGAGCAAGCACGCTTGCACGACTCGAGGCAAGTGTGCTGCGCACATGCGCATGCGCTTACATGCATGCGTCTATGCATGGACGAAGCAAGCTGTAGGTGATGACGACGTGGAGGTAGGCGTTAACACGGATGATGTCTGGACGGATGAGAAGGCACACTTCCGATCTTCAGCCCTCCGTCTTGTCTTCACGCGCAGTCTTGCTGTTCTCACAGGAGATGCAGTTCCCAACCTTGACAAGTGGCCAAACAGCCACGTACGTGACCCACAGAGCTGAGTTGTTTTTGCGAGCGCTTCTGCTCAGCTCATCTTTGTCCTCCGAGGTCCACGGGAGCCGAAGCACAACTTCTCCCCTTCCTCAGGCATGCGGGTGAACTGAGCCTGTTTCATGGCAAGAGCGTCAAGAATGTTGGAGAGCTGGCTGTGAGTTTGGTTGGGTTCTGGCTTCATGAAGATGTGGAGCAGGCGTGTGCTGCCCTTGTTCGAAGCGTCCATTGTGGAGAGCAACCGTGGAGTCCTTAGTTGGTTCTTTCTTGGCAATCTGCGGCAAGTTGAACCTGTCTCTTTTCTGGCCGTTTCCAGATTGGCCAGCTGTTGCCTGTGGCATCCCTTCTTCGGATGTGAAGCGTTTTCCTGACCTCCCCTTTGTCATCTTGCTGTACTCAGGACGTGCCGGGGTTGTCGCCCCGCCGCCTCCCGATGAGCAGTTGGGCCACACCCTGGCCTGGCAGCCCAGAGCATTCAGCATTCGCAATGCATTCCCATGCAGAATCCCATGCAAGCCCATACAATCCAGATCTATTCTCGAGTCAAGAACCAGATGCTCAGGTGAGATGCGTGCTCCCGGAGAGCTTCGTTTCCTCTTTTATAGGCCAGAATGGGTCTCAGGTGGTAGTGGGGAGACAAATGCCATAAAAAGGCTGTCGTAGTGCGGACTTGCCATATGTGCTTTCAGCGATGCACTCCGTTGCAGGTGCAACGCCCTCGGTGGTTGACGTTTCCATCGTTGAGAAATGGCCCATTGCCTCCAACAGTTGAAGTTGGACAAGGAAGTGTCAGGTATTGCTAGGTGCACGGTGCTGTATGTTGGCCACCAATCGGGTGATGGTTGCAGGTACGGGGCAGACCATGCGTTGGCACTCTATAGCTGGGAAGAGGCAGCTGTCTCATCGACTCATGATTCTGCTGGCGTTCCTGTTGCATCTGTTGCATGCTCTGAGATTCAGGCTGTGCGTCCTCCGCCGGGCGAGTTCGTTGGCCTGTCCAACTTCATGCGGCCGATCCGGAGCCTTGTCGGGGCCTGAAGTCAAATTTTGAAGAGCCTGCGGGTCAGCCGTCTCGTTTCAACCACCGATTGCGACATCGACATGCCCAACCATCGCACTCCTGCTAATGTAACACTTCCGCACCGGGCTTAAGCTTGACAACGTTTTGAGAGCAAGTGCAGCCGTTCCTTGCCGAGCGCATGAGCTGTGCAAATTAGGTTAGTCTCCATCCCATCGTGCTGGGCGGCTCTGGAGGTGCGTTGGGACATTTGGGATCACCCTCGACCACCCCTTCATCTCAATTGGCCCGTCTGCAAAAGCTGGACTTCTCACGGTTCAAAGACCCAGCTGAATCTTGCAACTTGCAGGTGCTTCTACCCGCCCGGCACGCTGTCTACATGCTTTCTGTCGCTTGGAGAGCATGAAGAACGTATTGCCTTGGCGCATACTTGGTCCCTGCATGCGGTATGTTGACGACCAGGCCGCTTGAGCTCACTGACAGTTGTGAATGGGAGGCCTTTTGGTTGTAGTGTTTCAGTTGCAGTATGGTGGGAAGGTGTGTAGGCTCGAACAGACTTGACAAGTGTCTGACAGGACTCACCTCATCGTGGCAGGCTCTGAGACAGGTTCCCTCCTGGTCTTGACCTTACCTGCCTTACAGTACTGCAGTACAGGTCTCGGCACTGCTCAGCATCGCTGCTCAGGTCTATGATCTCCGGGCGAGACCTCGCAGCCCTGCAGAGTTGCTGGGGGAAAGCGAAGGCAGAGCGCTGGGAAGGTGTATGGTTCCCGCGAGTAAAGCGGATAAAGTGGCTTCTTTACCTTGTATACCTTGTTCAGGGCCTCCACCAAACCCAGATGCTGACATCGCCCACTTCGAGGCAGGGAGCAAAGGACAATCTACAGTTTAACTGTTTAACTCAAGCTCGTGCTGATGCAGGGCCCCTTGTGGCTCCCGTCGGCCTTCTCGACGGACATTTATGTGAAGCTGGCCTGCTTGATTCATTGGCCTCTTCAGAAGCTTGAGTCTGCTAGGATGTCTGCTTGGAGTCTTGCACGGCTGAGTCCAGCAGTTTGCCACGCCAGGCTTTGGGGCCGACTCAAAGAGAGCAGCGAGCACAGCGCAAGCTGAACGTGGTACTTTTCCTCCGCAAACGTCGTAGGGACGTTGCGATCACTGAGGGCAGCCGATGTCGACCAAGCCGGCATCATGCCTGCTACTGAGACCATCGGAGACTCAAAATCTCTGACAAAAGTGCACATGTTGATGTCTCACACCGGCGCAAAGCTGTTGAGACAGATGCCAAGGTCTGGGTCGTTTGGCTTTGATGGAGCTGGGGTCTGAGAGCATTTGGCGCTGGAATGGATGGGAAATATAGCAACATAATATAATCAACGCGGACTTTGTGTTTCGGCATTCGGGGCCAATCCGAAACCAGAACTGACTGGGACGATGCTTCACATCTGGTTTGGCTGAGGATTCGTCCGGAGTTCATGAAGCAGAGGTCCCTTGCGCACTTGTGCACGGTCCAGCAGCTGTGGGCTGTTTTTTTTTCTACAGATGGGCCCTTTGCATGGCCGCATCGGTGCAGAGGTCTGCTGTGTGCGCAGCTCGGACATGGCTGCTGGAGATGCGCTCGTCTTCGCCCGGTGGCCTGGGCATGTGAAGCAGTTGGAGTCAGACTACATCGACTGAGTCACTACTTTCTGCTGCTGTAAGCCTATTGAGCCGAATCTGCTCTATTCCTTCGCGGTCTGCGTTGGCAGCCATTTCAGATCCAAGCCTGAACTCGTCTCCCCGCATGGGCTTCTCCACTTCTCCTGAAGTGGGTGAAGGACCACCCTTGGACGACGCGCTGCCATGGATCCGGATTCCAAGGTTTCAAGCCTCCCGAGGCCAGGCACGGCTTGCACAGCGCACTCTCTCACAGTACAGCTCGCCAGTTTCTGCAAGGCATGCAAGGCATAATGCGTATTAATGCGTGCGGGGGGTCAGAGTTTGTCAGTGTTGAGGTGGCGACCAAGGGCTCTCGATGGCCCGAAGCTCTCCTGGCCCTTGGCGGCCTTGGAAGCCTTGGCTCGGCACGCGGGTCGGGGCTTCCGATTCGAGAGGTGAATCGTGCGATTCGCGCATCGTGGCAGACACAGCAGACACGACTTGGCCTGTATTGGTCTCACAGGGCCCGTATTTCCACAAGATGCTGAGCAATGCTATGCCGAGGCATGCAAGGCGCTGTCGGCCTGGGAGGAAGCGTCGTTGTCTCTTGGACTTGCTCAGACATCGCGTCGAGAGTTGATTTTTTTGGCCCCAGCCGGCAGTCCCGACCTCCGGTTCACTCGACGGCCTGTCCAAGGTTGGTGGCAATATGTGGTCAGAAGAACATCCGAGCCGATGTTGTCTCGCACCTAGGTTGTCATTGATATGTTGCTACACGCATTTGAAACAGAACATTATGTAGAACTGGAATCTGATACTGGGTACCCTCTTAGATGGATTCGTGTCTCATTCACCATTGTCTCTGAGATGTCAGTCTGGCTGAGGTACACAACATTGGTGGGTGGTAGCGAGCCCTGGGAATTTGCGATCGATGTTTTTGAGGACATGCTGCTTGCCTTCGAGAAGACTGCCTTTGTTTACAAGAACTCAGTGAACAAAGCCTGGTTGATTGGGAACCCTCCCCAACTCAGGGCCACGCACAAGCTACTCTTGGACGAGGCAGGGGGGCGGCCTCGTTGTCCGGGCAGCGCAGCTTTGGTGGGCCAGGTTGCGGCGATCACTCATTTCACTGGCTTTGCCGCCCGGGGAGCGTGGGCGGCCGCGCTGTCGTCGCTTGAAGACTTACAGGTTTGGCGTGTTTTTTGGCAGTTTGTGAACTGGCGTTTCTTGTGCACTGGCATCGTCGCAGGGGTTTTGTGAGGCCCAGCGGTTGGAAGCAGACCGGAAGATGGTCGGTTCTGCAATGACTTCATGCACCAGGAGTGAGAAGTGGCCAGCAGCTCTTGCACTGTCCCGAGTTGCTTGGTAGTTGCTTGGTTCTTGTGTTCGGACGTTCGGTGGTGCCTGGAATCTTAACTCTCTGCAAGGTGCTCTGTTGTCATCTACGAGCTGAGTCGGTGGAGACTGATATCGCTTCCTGGTGGAACAGAAGTTGGCTCTTGGGTGTTCACCTGGCTAGACGTTGAGGGTGTCTAGCGGCGGCTCGAGGGTCCGGCGGAATTGTCGATGGGAGGCTTGGCCGAGGCCGTGCAAACACGCCGAGGCCGTTGCCAACGCTGCAATGAGCGCCCTGGGCCACTCTGGGCACTGGACTTCGGCGCTGGACGTGCTGGAGGATGCGTGATTTGCTCTACTTGTACAGGATGTACAAGCCTACCCAGACAAGATGTTGCTTCTTGCATTGTACTGCTGTCAGGAAGTCACCGCACACCTGCTGCCAGACTTGATATCCGTCAACGCTGCTCTTCGTGCCCTCAGCTGGAAGATTATTGTGCTTGAGTTTCACGAGAGCAGAAGCCTGTCGACTCTGCGAGCTCTGCCAGGTTCTTGTGAGCGACCCGGACAGTGGCAACCTGCCCTATGTCTTCTGAAGCAATACGCGTTTTTGGTACCTGACATCATCTCTTTTAGCACCGTCGCAAGTGCCTGTGAGAAGGACGGCCGGTGGGAAGAGGCCCTGTGTCTTCTTTCCCAATTAGGTCACGCAAGGATTGTCGGTGATCTTTCCTTTTACAACGCTGTGATCAGTGCGGCTGAGAAAGGCAGCCGCTGGCAGCTGGCATTGCAGCTGTTGCCTGTTGTTTCGCAGCTCCAGCTCAAAGCTGACGTGATCAGCTACAGCAGTGCTATCAGTGCCTGCCAGAAGTGTGACGAGTGGCAAGCCGCTCTGCAGTTGCTATCAGAGATGCAAAGTGGACATGTCAAGCTGGACGTTTATGCTTTCAACGCTGCAATTTCCGCATGCCGGCAAAGCTGGCTGAAGGCACTTTATCTCCTCAACTCCATGCAGTTCTGTGCAATTCAGAGCACAGTCATAACTTGTGGTTCAGTCATCAGCTGCTGCTGTGAGAAGGCTGGAAAGGCCGCGAGGGCTCCCGGAAGGTGGCAGCTGGCATTGCAGGTCCTACGAGCCGCCCAGATGCAGACACTGCGCCTACAGGACATCACTTACAATGCGGCCATTGGTGCCTGCGAGAAAGGGCAGCGCAACCCGCGATCGACCTGGCAAAATGTTGGAAGAAGCTCTCTGCATCCATTGCGATCGAGATCCATGAATCATGAAAGTGTCGAAGGGTGGGCCATTGTGGGCCAGTAGGGGGGGGTCATTGTGCGGGGGTTAAATGAGAGTGCTGATTGGATTCCGAGGCCCTCGACGTCACAGGGACGGTCAGCTTCTGGCGGGTGCTAGAACTTGCTTCGGTGGGCCAGGGTCCTCAGAGCCAGAAGCCATCTCCTAGTTCCTGGCAAGCCATTTTGAAAGGCGCGAGCTTGAAGCATTTTGCTTTTGTGTGCCTCTGTGTGTGTGTGTGTACAAAACCCTGTTTGCTTTTGAATTCATTGAAGCTATGTGGAGGGGGGGCCGCTCCACGCACTGTGGTGCTCAAATCGTACCTACAAATTCGAGTGTGCTTGGGCTTGGCAGCGCATCTGGCAGCTCCACGATTCGTCACCTGTCGTTTCCAAGGCGTGAAGCTGGCGCTGCAAGGCAGCCTCGCTCTTGCGCGAGGCCTTGGTGCGCAAGCCGTGAAATCATTGCATTCGCCCCTGCCACCTTTCCAACCCTTACTGCCAAGCACGTGAGTTACTAGCCCCTCTCTTGGGGCTTTGCGGCAAGAGACGAGGGTTGACAGGCCCGCACTCCCATGTGCTGGCCGACTTCCTCGGCGCATCGTACCTCTGCATCCATCCGCAGCAGCAGGCCAGGCCAAAGCGTCAGTGGTGGCATAGGTAGGATACACGCTGCCGCACATTTGCCTGTTATATGTATTTGTTTTTCGTACATCATATAGCCCTGTACATTATAGCACTTGCTGCACATGCTTCCTGTGCTGAGGGTCAGTTCGTAGCGCTCTCCACTGCTGGAATTCGGCAAGCGAATCGTCCGGCCAGCCTGTTTATCCGGATTGACTTCGCGCTTTGCCTTCTGAACACCTGCACTTCAGGGCAGCGTGCGCTGACCTCCAATGTGGCGGATGGGCCAAGGACTGGACGGCGAGCATGGCGTTTCCCTTTTTTAAGGGTTTACTTGCATCTAGGTGCAGCCGGAGGCATCCGGACAGTTCCCGAATTAGCTGAGGGATGATGGCTTGTGAAAGTTTTGGCTTGACTGGGCTTCTGCGCTTCACAAAGGAACCTGGAGCTGCTGAGACACGCCGAGGCGGACTGAAATGATTGGCTGCATTCTGGATGTCACTTAAACACTTTCCAAGCAGGTAACAATGCTTTGATGCCAGGACGAAGGTCTCCTCCTTCCGAGTGACTCCTACGCATCGCAGCCTTGTAGCAGAGGGCTTAGTACATGCGACGACATGCGGCGCGTTCGACAACGACATGTTTCTCATGGCTTCTGGACGGGATGTCGCAAGCAGCAAACAAAACTTGCGAGAGGTGGCGCGTTCAATCCGTTTTTTCCTGGGCTGCTGTTAGTGGCATTCGCCGAAGGCGCAGACTGCATGCGTGCAGCTTGCATGCGCGCAGTTTCTGGAGGAATGTAGGCTTGTGCAGACAGGTGCTGTCTATAGATACTATAGTGCAGTCTGTGGGCATGTGTGCTGAGTAGTGCAGTTGTAAATGTTGTTGTAGACGCACGGGCATGTTGTGAAGCTGTGGCAAGGCGATCTCGCCCTCTTTGACTGCTCCCTGTGTGTGCCCGTGACTCACTGGGCAAGCGCTGTTGGCAAGGCAGGTGGGTGTGGTCATAGTGGTCAAGGTGGTCTGAAAGGCGGTCTTAAACGTGGTCTAAAGGTGGTCTCAGGCGAAGGTCATGCCGAGGCTTGGATGTGAAAAGCGAAGCTTCCAGATGTTTTCGCCTTGCGTGGAGGCGGCCAGCGCGCCAATCTCCGTTGCATGGTCCACCCGGAGGCTGACAGGGCTGGTACGGGGTGGAAGAGTGGAGTCCGCTTTGCAAGCAACTTTGTACAGGCCATGTGTCTTCTTCGTAAAGTGTGGCGACACGCTGGATGCCTCGCCCTAAGCTGAAGCCTGTCCAACTGCTCGCATTCGCTGGACTTGCGTCCGAGGTCTGGGATCTCGCCGACCGGACTCATGTGCCAGTTCACAGCACAACTCTGGAAGGCACCAACTGCCATCAGATCAGATCATCGGCAGACATCCATCGATGCTTGTATGTGTCCAGACGCATTGTTGAAGAGCGTTGCGTGCACTTGAAGCCATGGCTCGGTCACGTCGAGCTGGTCAGCCGTCAGCTGTATAGTTCGCAACACAGGAACAGGCACTCCTGCACTATTTGCAAAACTGCGAAAGGTGCGGAATGTGTTCGTGCGTTGACAGCAGGCTTACATTGGTCCACCCTACCTCTGTGTCATTACCACAGTTAGTTGATCAAGTTGGCACCAGAGCGCAGATCTAATTCGACCGAAGTAGAAGCTGACTTGGGCCATCTTGAGCTTTGATGCTCCATGCAGTGGCTCTGTCGGGCAATGTCCTCGCTTCCTGGGATCACGATGCCTTATGCTCATTGGCTCCAGAAGGCACCGTGGCATCCGTGGCACAGTGAAACATCACTTCTCTACAGCACGACCAGCGAAATTGAAGTTCTGTCTGCAGGTGAACGCCTGGCCGAAGCGATTAAAAAGCAATTGCAGCCACTGAATCCTGGCGGGGTGAGCCATCCTACTGTAAGAAGTTCGCCACGTGTGCTTCCTACAATGCGAAAAGTCGTGAGCTTGGTGTCGTGCTCGCTGTCCCAGCTGGGCTGAGGATCGGTGCATCGCCTTTCCAGCAGCGTCTGTACCTTCACGGTGAGGAGGCCGAGGGTGGATCAACGCCTTGGCAGTGGCTCGCCCGTTGTCGAGCCTTCGATGGCAGGTGCTTGAGATCACTCCACCATACTCGAGCTTGCTTGAAGAGGTGTGGAGAATTGAAGCCTGCTTTGGAACGGTCGCAGCTAGGTGTTGGAAGCCCAAAAGCTGGGTTAGAAGTTTAGAACACGGGGGTCGAACCCCCCCCGAGGAGCTGCAGGTCGTCTTGTTGCCACTGCGGCGAGATGCCTCTGCAGACCTTCGTTTGCATTCTGCCGCAGGCGTCATGGCCAGCAAGGCGAAGACTTTCTAAGCACGAAAAGATTGCAGGCAGGTCGAGAAGCTTGCTTCTGAGGTGACGTTGTCAAGATCAAGCAATTGCTGCGGGAACCTCAAGCCCCTGATCCTGTGGGGTGCCTCGTCTGAGAATCCCCCAGCTAAAAGCGAACTATTCAGTATGGGGAACATCATTTTTGTGGTCTTGTTCTTGCCCTTCTCGTTGACTGAGGCAGTGTGAGTTCACACCGCTGCAGCTAGCTGCACGCTACGGCCACCTGGAGGCTGCCTTTTGTGTGGGCCGGTGACATGACAGTGCGACAGATGTGCAAGATGTGCAAAAGGTGCAAGTGCACGCTTATGTGTGCTTCAAGAACTTGTAAGTTATTAGGTCCAAGAATGCCCTGCAGTGCAGGTTGTTTGCATGCTCTTGGCTGCGGGCGCTGACAAAGACCGGCAAGGCTAGCGTCTCATCTCGTGCCCTAGGTGTTTTCCTCCGTAGACTCTGACATGCGCAGCCGGTGCACAGGACTAGCCGAGACAACGCCTTTGTTGGAGGCCGTCGACAACCAGCATTTGGAGGACCGCCACCACTCCTGCCCCCTCACCCTCAAAGATGAGAAAAAGAAGACAGAGTCAACCCCGCAGACCATGTGTACTGCAGACCCCGGGTAGAGTGGCCCAGATGCTGGAAGGAAGCCCAGAGTTGCAGGGGCTTTGGTTCAAGTCAGCCGTATGTTTGCTCGATTTTGCTCGAGCATCTCGAGGTGGCACGCCACTTGGTGGAGATTCGCGCGGACGTCGGCAAAGCTGGCCTCGGGGGTACTACACCCTTGCTTGTCGCCGTGGAACGGGGCGATCTGCAGGCAGCGCAGCTGTTGATCAAGGCTGGGGCTGACAAAGATCAGCCGGATGCAGGTGGTTTGACACCGCTACATGCTGCATGTGCTCAGCTGGATATGGTTCAGTTTCTGCTCAGCGTCACGGCAGACCAGAACGTGCAAGAGTCGAACGGAAAAACACCACTGCGAATCGCAGCTGGCATTGGCTGCGCAGATGTGGTGCAGTGCCTTGTGCTCTCCGGTGCGGACAAAGACAGGTCTGATGCTCTGCTGGTAACGCCCCTTTGGGCAGCTGCGCGGAATGGCAGGACCGTGGTTGTTGAACATTTGCTGAACGCAAGGGCTGATCAGAACCAGGCTGACATCGATGGGGAAACACCATTACGTGCTGCCGCTGAGCACGGCCACATGGAAGTCGTCACGCGGTTGCTGGATGGACGTGCAGACTTAAACAAACCTGATATTGATGGAAAGACCCCCTTGCTGTCTGCGGCCCATGCCGGACAGTTGGCAGTGGTTGAAGCTTTGCTGAAGTCGCGCGGATTTGTGGACGTCACTGACTCAGAAGGGCGGACGCCCTTGATGGCAGCTGCTGAGCTTGGCTTTGTGGATGTGGTTCGCAGCCTTTTGGAGGAAGCGGCTGATGTGAACCGTTGTCGAGCTGATGGTGCGACACCGGCCAAGTTGGCTGCCAGCAGAGGAGAGTTGGATGTTTTACGGCTTCTACACGTCAAAGGCTGCGAGAACTTCCAACAAAACAAGCCAAACGCACACATACAAGCAAAAAAGGGTCATGGAAGTGGTCATAGACCCAGTAGAAGCATGCGCAATGTAGAACATTCACGCCCCTGGAGGTGCAGTCTTGGGCCTGGCAGACCTCGAAGGTGTCACGCCTCTCTGGGCTGCTGCCAGCTGTGGGAAGCTGACGGTGCTTGGTTCAATAGAGTCAAGTTCTAATCAGTTGCATCGTTGCACCAAAGTATGCCAAAGTACCGAATGCCGTGCGTTTCAGCTTAACACTGGGCCTCAGGTTGTTCAGTATCTGCTGGACCAGGACGCTGATGCGACAGTCCTGAATAGACGTGCCAAAGCTAAACTGGCGACACGCATATACGTTACGCACTCGTCTTGTCTTCTCCTCTGTGTTTTGGCAGTGTGATGTTGCTGCGGAGTGCCATGAGGCGGGCAGAGCTGCTTGCAAGCTGCCTCTCAACGTTGTCACTCACAGGCTGGATATAGGGAGCGTGGCCCTTCATATCTGCCTCTGAAAGCCAAAAGCCAGGCGTAGCGAGGTCTCGGCACAGCTTTCTGCGACAAGGGGTGTAGTGTCTCAGTAGGACAGTGCACGGGAACAGCAAGGCCGATTGTTCTCCAAGCATCTCCGAAATGACATGTGTTCTCTACAGCTTTCCCTGTGGCCCATGCGTTTACATCCGATCGCCTCTTCTTCTGGTACAACCCTGCGTAGCTAAGCATGCTGCATGCTTCTCATCGAGCATCGCGCGCTGATGTGCATCGTGTCTGTTAGTTTATGTGCCGATTTCAGCAGAAAGCCGATATTTGAGCTGCATGGTCAGGTGGTGTCGCTTCTGAAGACCTTGAGCCACCAGAGCAAGCGCCGAAAAGTTGGCGAGGACGCTTCTGTGAATGATGTGCATGATAGCGGCACTGTGGCACATTGTGCTGCAAACCCAAGTTCCAATGCGTTTCACGGTCGGTCTCACGTAAACGTGAGCACCGGTACTGGTGAGCTTTCTTCGTGATGCGTTTGATGCGGTTCAGTGTTGCACTGTGGTTACATGAGCTATGGTTGGGAATTGCTTCTGTGTTCTTTGCTACGCGGTCAAAGCCAGGTGGCCCTCCACGTCCGCCCTCAGCTGTGCCAAGCTGCTGTGAGCTCTTCATCAGCTGGGGCCCCGTGACTGGTGACCACGGAAGTTGGGGGGGGGGGGGGGGGGGGCGGGAAAGGGCTCTTCGCCACTTTACAAAGTCTGCGACAAAGTCTGCGGCGAGGCGCAGATGGTCGGCCCATGGTCTCGGTCGCCGGTTCCGGCCTTGGAGATTCGGAGTGCGAAGAGAAGTGCACAGTGTGCTGAGAGCTGCCGAGGCGTGCGGAAGTTCGTAAGTTTAGACCCCGCGACGCAAAGGCGAATGAAGACCTTGTCTTGCCTCTGTCAAGGGCGTGTGCCCTCAAGTTAATGCATTAGAGAGAGAAGGCCCAACTCGCCATACTTTTGCTAGTCTACGTTCTGCCCAGCGTGTTGCTGCAAGTTGCAATAGCCCAGAACTTGGTTTATGTCACTTTACGTCCCTGAGAAGTTTATTGCTGACACGTTTGGCCGAATGCCGCTTCTCTCTCTCTGGAGCCATGGCCCTTACGCTGTCCATCGGACTTTTGAGCGGCCGAGCAGCCAAGGAAGGGCCCTTTGAGTTCTGCTGACGGACCTTTTTTTTCTAATCTCATCCCTTCTGACAGTTGCAGGTCTCTGTGGACTCCGATGTTTCAGGGGCTGAGCTGCAGCGTCACGCCGAGGTGACGACTGCCTGCCCTGCTTTGCCTGATACTTGATGGCTTTAAAATGTCTTGGAAGCTTTTTTGTATATTTAATACTGATTATTTCTTTTTGTGGAGAGGCTGCACTCCGTACGGAGCTGGCTGCTTTGGTCGCCTGGCTCTTCTCGAATTCAACATGTTGCTCTGCGTGTTTTTGTGCGTCATGGCGCACTTCATTCAAGAGCTTTGTGCGTGCACAGGTCACTGCTGCAGGAGTGACCCTGCCGCTTGCTTCGATGGAACTCCATGTCGGTTGAGTGTATAGGTTTCAAAACCTGGCTCAGGACGGGGTCGCAGACCCTCAGGGAAGCAGGCGTCTGTGATGGCGATGAGCTCAGCGCGGTCGCAGGACGCTTTTGGTGGATGGCAGATCAGACGGTTGTTTCAAAAGTGCGGGGCTGCTTGTTCGTGGCAGGAAACGCTCCTGACAGAGGGCCCAGCGCAAGGTTCATGTCCGCGTTTGCTGCTGGGCTGAATTCCAGATGTGACTTCACACTCAAAGATGTGGAGTTAACCTAGCCCCTTGTATCTCGGCATGTTGCTGAATCATGCTGAATCCTTAAGTTCTTAAATCGTGGGAGTTGGGCGCGTGTCCGAACGAGCGCTTTCTTGGCTTTCAAGAGTCTTTCATGAATCGAGCTACAACGTGCCCCGAGCGCAGCGGTAGGATCTCGTGACAGCAGCATGAACGCACCCATCAGCCATCCAGCAGCATGCATCCAAGACTCCAGCGCAGTCCGCAGTCCGTGGCAAGCAACACGCTTCACAGCCTAAGCAAACAAAACACCAACGCACTAACCATTCGTCCACTAACTCCACAACGTCACTGTAAAGGCAAAGGGAAGCAGAAAAAACCAGAAAAAAATGAACAGAGGGAGGAGAAGAGCAGGAAGGAGGGAGCGGGAGAAGGCGAGAAGAGAATCTCCAATGCTATCATATCACATCTCCCCACCACCACCGCACATTATCGAAGACAGATCGGGGAAAATCATCCGGGCAGACTGATGTTTAGGACTAGTGTCGTTCTGCAGTCCAGTAATGTACTCGAGTAGGGGGAGTCCTTTCTCCACGCACTGATACCCCTAGTGTTACCGCCCCCCCCCCCCCCCCCCCCCCACATGGCACATGTATCACACCAACAGACTCGGTGGAGCCCCTTGGGGCGGCTCCCTCTCGGCGGGGTCATATGCACTGCAAGCAAGCAAAGCGAGAAGAAAAGAAGCAAACAAAAATGGTGAATAAGAATACGCTGCAAAGTGTAGTCAACCTCGAAATGGCTCGAAGAGAAACGGAGCGAAGATGGTGCACTTTCATAGCGAATGAAGGAAATCAAAGCAAGCATCCGGGCCGGGCGAGGAAAAACACAAGTAGGATGCTGGAAAACGCGGAAGACAGTCTAGCGGTAGCGGTGACGATCGCGATCCCTGCAGTTCTGCGGAGATGCCGCTTGTAGCTGACTGCCAGGGTAGCCGTGTTCATCCTCGAAATGTTTGTGCGCTTAGCCGATCTCTTCAAGCTGAACTTCAGATGTTGCTCGTTGCGAATGGCCGAAATGTATGCAACGTAGCTCAATCACGATGTTGTCAGCCTTGCTTCTGTTCTTCTCCAGAGCGACGAGCCCGATGGGTCGTTGTGTACTTTTGCTGGGCTGAATTGAAAACTTTTCAGGCTCAAGCCAGAAAACCGCCAAGCTGTGATAGTGGCTTGATGGCTTGATGGCTTGATGACTTGATGGCTTGATGTCGCTTGCATCTTCGCGCATTTCCGTGTTGGCCCTATGAGGCTTTGATTCGCAGCGATGGCAGCGTGGTTTCTTGGGGTGACAGAGCTTGTGGAGGACCGTTGTCAGCGATGAGACGCGCAAAAATGCGTAATTTCAAGCTGTCAGCCCTGCCAGGTGACTCCTGCCCGGTAGAGGATCAGCTCGTCGCGGTCACACAGATTCAGGAAATCTTGCAGAGCTCTGCATGGGGAGTTTAGTGTGGGTCTAGGAGGTTGCTGGCGTGCGCGTGGTGCTCGTTGGGGCTGTTAAGGGAGGCATGTGCCATGTGCCAATGACTGCCAGACCTCGTCATCCGCCTTCGCAGCCTTGCGCCGGGATGGTTCGGTGGTGTCCTGGGGCAACCCGAGGACAAGCGGCTTTCACTTCATTAGCGCTTCGTTCTCGCAGCAACAGAGCACTTTGCGAGGACGGGCGGAAACAGCAGCGCCGTGCACAAACAGCTGGTGAAGGTGAAAGAGTATCTTGTCCAGCGAACAGATCCTATTTCAGCTCCCGATCATGGGACCAGTACATGCTTGTCCAGTCCAGAGGTTGCTTGATTTGCTGTAGCAGACTCGTTGATCCTCAGGCTACACGCCTCTGCGTGTGCCTTCGCCGCACTGCGCAAGGACGCGGCGAGCAATTCCTTCCTATCTGGGACACGCCATGGTCATTGTGCCAGCAAATGTCATGTTTGCCAGGACGGAAGCGTCGTGACGTGGGGCATCGACCAGTGGTTCCCTCGAAGCTGTGTGTGTGTGTGTGTGTGTGTGTGTGAAAGAAGCCAGTCCTTTCGTTCATCTGCAACTGCAAAATCCTGTCAGCTGCTTTATTTAGGTCAGGAGGGAACAGCGCGGCCGTGCAATCTCAACTCGTGCAGGTGAAGGCCAAACTCTTCGTCAAGAAGATGGGCTCTCGCTCTCTCGCTCTCTCTCTCCCTGCTTCTTTCTCCGTCTTGTGTTTTGTGTTTGTGCGCGTCGACCGCCTTTGGAGGACCTTTGTGCATCGACCTTCGCCTTCGCGGCTTTGCGGGAGGATGGCTGCTCGCCCCTTTTCATGGGTATTTGCATGCTTTCAGCTCATCTCAGCTCTCAACAAGCCACCGTGCATTGGCTAGTTCAGGTAAGGTGGTGACCTGGGGCTCCAGCAGTGTGGGTGGCGACAGCAGCTCTGCTGCCTGGCTACATTGCTACGTAGAGTACTCCACAGCAAGGCTTGATCAGGATGAAGATTCTCAGATTTCTCAGGTGCGAGAGCAGCTGACAAGCGTCCGCCAGCTGTTTGGATTCGCCAATGGCTTTGCTGCAATCCGGCGCCTTGCCATGCAGCTGACCACACAGGCGATAAGCCAACAGCTGAGTGGCAGGTTTCATAAGAGGAGATGCAGGCGTATGGTATGCTCCAGGCCATAACCAAAAGAGTCAATAAAGGACATGCGCCGTCATAGGTCTGAGAACGGCTCGGAACTGCTTGGCCTGGTCTTGGTCGTGACAGCAAAACCGCTAGTTTTACTTGCGTTAATTAAAAGCTATTCGCCTGATGTCTGTCGTAACTCCGCACAGCAACTGTGCCGCATGCAATGCTACCTCCCATGAACTAGACAAGAGCCAAGGGATACTTTACGTACTTCTCAACTCCTTCCGCATGCGGGGCATTGGACCACGCTAGGACAGATGGCCATCCCGTCGTGTGGGGTGATTTGCCATCTGGCCGAGACGGCATCTCGCCCCAATTTTTTGCAGTTAACATCGCCAAAGCTGCAAACTGGGATCTGGATGTTTGAGGGGAGGCGTCAAGCATGCACATAGTTTATGTGTCAACTCGCCAGGGCAGCTGGGCCCGAGTTGGGGCCGCCCAAGCCACGGGACGTTCACGTCGGCGGACCCACACAGTCGGGCTGCAGACACGGAAAGCGACCACGGGTCGAGGAGAAAGACGCCAGAGAGCGCCCGACCTGCAAGCCCGAAACCTTAAACTGCAATGAGCTTGGGGTTTGGCTTTCTGCAGTACCCTTGAAGCCTTGTTCCTTGATCAGCAGGAAAGGCTTGCAATGTCAGCAGGCTGTGCAAAACCTTCGGTGCACTTGTTGTCTGTGCTCGTGTGCCTGTTGCCAAGCCAAGAAGGCTGAAAGCAGAGGGTTTCCTGCCCGGGGTTTCAAGGGTTGTCAGGGAAGTTTCAGGGGTTTCCAGCAGGGAGGAAGACGCAGGGTGGGTCTCCGAGCCGAGTCGGCAGGAGGCCAAGGCGAATATTGGGTTTGGCCACGAAGAAGACAGGGGGATTGTCAGTGATAGTTTACCAGCTGCAACAAGCGTAGAACATAGAACATCCTTTGTGCACGGAAGTCAGCCATTCGGCAAGCATGCTAGGCACCAAACTACAGCGGGAGCTGCATGACGTGCGCTGTGTGTACGCAACGGACTTCCGGGATTTCATCCAACTTTCGGCAACATGGCTGACCAGCGTGTGAAAAGGCATTGAAGAGCCCTTGAACTCATGAAGCTTGTTGCGGTGCAAGCAGGATTCAGCTTGCGCTGCCTTGCGGGCAGATGGGCGCGCTACTTATCTGGAATATGTCTGGGAAATATCTACGTTCTGCCCCCATCACATGAACTGAGGACTCTGCTGCTTCTGTCTGTCGATGATTTTGTGCGCACATTCAGGTTATCACCTGGGGCAGCATGGGACAAAGCCTTCCACCTCATGGGTGGCCTCTTGAGACGTAAAGTGAAGCACCGAGCAGTGTGCCTTGAGCAAGCCATGTGCTATCGAATCCAAGGCAGCTCGTTCATGTCCGGCAAATATGCACCACTCGTTCAGCATTTGCCGCTGTCCGAGTCATGGCCGCATTGGGCTGCACGATTTGTGCATCAACAAAGCTGTGCTGGGTCAAGGAGATGATGGCAGCGTGGTAGCTTGGGGACGTTCTGATGGAGGCAAGACCAATGCCACGAAGTGCCGTGTGCATTGAACTGGTGCACAAATGAAGCAACTTGCAGCAATCCACTTGCCATGACAGGTGGAGACTGCAGATCTGTCGAGGACCAGCTTTTCGAAGTCAAGCAGGCGGCAGTCGGAGAATGTTGTGTTGGAAACGTCATCGCCCCTTTGCAGATACCGTGTCACGACATTTCGCGACAAGACAAAGGTACCTCTGGTGCTCTTTTCTCTTTTCATTCCTTTCATTCCCTCCTGCTCGCTCTTCCTCGGACTCTGCCCCTCGCCCTCGCTAAGAATGGAACAACGTGTTAAAGTGAAGCATGCAAAGCCGAATGCGCCCTTCCTTGCTGACTCCAGCCTTGTTGTACATCCCTCTTTCCCAAGTCGTACAATACCGTCATTCCAGTTCTCTTCTGTTCTCCTTCACGCTTGGAGTCAGCTGGGTCCCATCAGCTACAGCATTGAAGTACATTTGCTGTACAACAGAGTACACATTAAATTAAGAAGTACACTAATGTACCCTTCAGTGTCCCCTTGGCATCAGCTGGCGTCGACGGACTCCGCTTTTGCTGCGCTGCGGGCCGACGGTTCGGTCATTGCATGGGGCGACGCCAAAGGTGCCCAGAATGAGATGCAGCAGTGCTTCAGCAGTTGCTATCGCAAATAGCATTCAGTTGCGCAGGTGAATGTGTTCGTGGCTTTTCGATGCTTTTCGATGCCCCAGCTTGATCCGAGGTGGTGGGGATTGCGCGCCGGTGAAGCAGCGACTCCAAGGCCAGTTCTCGTATCGTACCTTTCATATGCCTTTCATACCTTGTTTCGTACCTTGTATCGGTTCTTGGGCGAGGCCGAAGGCCCGTTCTGAGCATCGACCTGAATCGGACACCTTGTTATCGCCGAGTGCAGTGTCAGCTCTATGGCCGAGGTATTCGGCACGTGTCTGCGACATCTGCAGCCTTCTGCGCCCTCGCTGTGGATGGCGCCCCTGTGGCTTGGGGTGACCCTGGGCCGATGTTGGATTGAAGAGCTCTGCCTGACTTGTCACCTGCCGGACCACCGAAGTGTTTCAGTTCGCGGGCTGTCAGCTTGGAGTATCTAGAGCGTGCACGGCCCATTCTCGGACATTCTGCACGATTGCTCCTGAAATCTGCTTTTCCTCGAGTAGCAGGCCTCAGATACGCATCCACGGCTCATTGGCCAATGGAATTTATAGTTGCCCACTGGCGTGATGCTTTTTGGTAGCGACACGTAGCGGAGCTCCTCGGTTCCAGGTTCTCTGGGTAGTGGCTACAAGCAAGTCGCGGCTTCTTCGTAGATGCATTGCAAAGTCTTGAGACAGGCTGCAAGAGTGCTCGCACTATCTGCCCTTCTTCGAGTAGCGGGCTTGAGATGAGAAGGGGTCCAATGGCCTCATAGTTCACCCGTGTGGCACTCGCTCTCTCTCCATCTCTCTCTGTTGGCTGTGCTCTAGCTTCATGTCTGCTGTGTATATGCTTGCTCGTGGACATGGGCATGTTCCTAAGTCATCCCGAGTATTGAATCTTTGACCTATCTGGATATTCGGCCGGGCATGCTAGCGCACTTCTGCTCGAGGATGTAGCACGTGGTGGCCAACTACCCATGGAGATGCTGTTGCCCAGACTGCAAGAAGACTTGCGTGTCGTGTCAGAGCCGCACGAACTTTCCACCAAAGAACGGTAGCTGTTCGTCTGCATGCATCGCAGACACGACGTGGAGCAGATTTTCGCTGCGTCGTCCGCCTTCGCAGCCTTGCGAAGAGATGGTGACTTGAATGCGCCTTGTGACATCTTGGGACAAGCTGGGCTTTTCTTTTCCGGCAGCTTCTCATCATGGTTTTTGTCCCAGGTTCAGTTGTCGCCTGGGGCGAGGCAAAGAACGGCGGCGACTGCAGCTTCTTGGCTCTCTCGAAGTGTCATGAATTTCAGCCGTCCTGCAACTCTCAGGCAGGTGTGTGACACTCTGTGTGTGCGTGTGTGTGTCGTGTCTCAGGCCATGCCTTTCGCCTGAGGGACGTGACCCCGTTGCATGTCAGCGGCGAGGCGGGCTTCTGTGCATACCTTGCAGCGTGGCATCGCATAGAATCGCATAGCATAGCATAGCATAGCATAGCATAGCATAGCATGGTGTCTTTATAACATGCTTAAATAGCTTCTTAAACTTCAGCACTTCGCCGCAGGGTTTGCTGGAGTCTACGCTTATGCACGCTTCATACCGTGTGCACTGACGTCTTGACCTCTCTGCCAGGTCTTCGCTCGAGTGTCTCCGTTGGCACTGCAAGAGTGAAGGGAAAAAAGTGGGTGCGTTTTGAACCGATGCTAACCGGACCGAGTCCTGGTCTTGGCAGAGTTGCATCGGCAAGAGCCACCCAGTCCATTTTGTTTTGAGGCTCGGTCTTGCTCCTTGGCCTTCCGGGGCAGCTCACCGAGCCGCTGCAACGCTTGCCGCGGCAGCAGTGAGCTTAGGATTTTTTGGCTTTGGGTTGTCCTGACTCCGCAGTTGTCGGGGTGACAGAAGCATGATTGAATACTTTTTCTGCGACATGGGCGACATGTAAAGTCAAAGGGCTGGACTGTGGCGCCGCTGTGGCATTGCTGTGGCACAATGCAGCTGCAGGCATGCAGGGGCTGACCGGCCCATCGAGGAGCTGCTTCTGCCAGGCTTCGAAAAGGACCAGGCAGGGAGAATCTCTGGGTTGCACACTGGCAATCGAATGCTCTAGGCCCTAGGCACCTTGTCCAGGCTTGCAACGCGATGCTGCTGCAGGGTAGCTGCGTATGTTGCGTGCCAGGTCTTTCCCACACTGGCGCGTCACACACGGAGTGCCTCTCACTTAGAGCTGCATGCTCCAGTCGCACAGTCGCACAGTCGCGTGACGCAAGCGTCCAAGTGACAATGAATGGACTCGGAGAGCTGAAGGGTGCCTGTCCTGTCTGCGGCTTCGATGCTCTCATGAGGTGGAGGTGCCTCCGCTCTGTGCCTTGGAGAGGGACGTGCTCAGGCAGTGTTTGATGTGCATCTTGCGGGTAGGACACTGGGCGATATACCTCATGTGACGCCACTGGTGTGCACAAGTAGCTTGTTTTCCAGACATGTCGAAGGCACATTGTTGCGGGCATCAACCCGATGCAGGCCAAGTGTAGAAGTTTGACACTGCAACATTCCTGCAGCGTCAGCTCCAGTCGAAGAAGGTTGTGACAGAAAAGGCAGCACAAAGAACACATCGAGAATTGGTTTGCAATGGGGCAATTGGACACAACAAAATGCGAGCTAGGTGCCAGAGGTTGTGTGTAAGTACATGTGAGTATATGTGCGCATCGGCTGCCAGGCCTGGGTTTGAGGCCAAGGCCGGAGAGGTGGCAAGCTGCTGTGATTTTCCCATTTATTTTTTTGTTTTTGCCATTTCATGTGGAAGGCATCGGGGCAGATGCAGGGGCAGATGCTTAGAATGTTGTGCTCAGAGCCATGCAGAGAACTGCTCGACAGGCTTTTGGCCCTGGAGCGGCTGATGCGGTTGCACACAATGCAGGTAACGTGGACAATGCTGGAAAAGACACAAACTAGCTCGTGCAGTCGTTCAACAAACAGTTTCAGAGTTTGCGCAGGAAGGTTGTTTCACCACGTAGAGCATGCGGGTTCCTCACCTGTTCTTGCTGACAGGTCAGTTCTGCTTGAGGTATATACAGACATGGACTTCTACGTGCTGTTGGTTCTAGTAAGACATCGATGTCTTGCGACAGCCCTAGCGCAATATCCTTGTAATTGCGACAAAGCTGGTCTTAAGCGGAACGTTGCAGAACCCAGGTCGAATTCATTCTGTGACCCTAAACTGCCCCGGAGCCTCAAAGCGACTGACAGATCGGATCTGGAACTGGCGCGGGCTGTCTGCTAGAGCGGAAAAAGCCCTGAAATATTTGGCTATGTGTCTGTAAAGATTCTGCGTCCCGTAAAGTCCAGAGCCGTCCCGTGTATGGGTTTCTGGGCAGTATCTCTTAGCCTCTGCTCGCCAATCTAACAATCCCCGCAAGACACCAAGTCCCTGAACCTCCTGGGCTCTCTTTTGTATCCTGTATCCCTATTCCATCCCAATTTTCATCCGAACGACGAAATCCTGTGCAGTGCCTTCGGACTTGGCCTCGAGGCGAGCGCATGACGACCTTGAGTGCATGGTCCCGATGTGGAAAAAAGTCATCGACTTTTCAGAAGTGTAGATGAAGGCAGAGGTAAGCAGACATGGAAGTGTAAGGGTGATAAGGCATGGGATGCTGTCTTGATGGGCAACCGGTCAACCCGCGGCTAAGTTCGGAATCTGGTTTCTTCGCTAGGGAGCAGCGCTACCTTGCAACATACGTACATCATCTTCACATGCTCCCAATTCTAATCAACGAAACGGTCATAGCTTTGAGGGGGTGCTCGAAGCTGCCATGTGGTTGTTGGGAAGCTCAGGCTGCGGCAGCTCCCTCTTCCTTTAAACGGCTGGCGGCTCTTCGTTTTGAAGGATGCAAACGGTATCGACGATCGTGCTTGCACCAGGAAACCATGCAAGCTGTCAAGAAGGATGCCGTCTTGCACTTGCAATGTTTCGAAGTCGACGTCCATGGCGATGATGGCTGTAGTTGGGCTTGCAGACATGCGTGTCTAGATGGCCGAAATCGAGCGCCCTACTGTTTACTGTGCGCAAGCATCTGCAGTAGTCTACTGCTACGACCCGTGCCAAAGGGCTGGCGCAGCCCATAAAATGGCCTGCGCCATTCATGTCACAATTTCACACAAACCGGTTTACCGGGTTTGGCCAGTGGATTGAATTTGGAGTCGCGCAGGCCGGCGACGATGGAGATTCTGTTGAGAGCCGGGTGCCAAGTCGGGCAAGGGAGCCATGCCCATACTGACGCTGCAAATTGGCAAAGAGGGGACAGAGATGATCGCTTGCTTTGCGAGGTTGGGGTGAAGAGCACCCTCCCATCCGGCTGCCGGCATCGGTCCGGAGCCGAACCGCGGAGTGGATTCGAGTGTTTGTGACAGTTTGTGTCAGTTTGTGTAGCTCAAGTGCAGGCTTGGCGGATACCCGTTCCAGCCTCCGAAGCGAGTGACGAGCCAAGGCCGGCCCGACAGACTCAGCAAAGACGAACGTGTGCAGCTTATTCAAAGGAGCAGCGTGAGCTTGCCAGGATGCCACAGCTTCCCTTCGCCACTCGCCTTGTCGAGACGTCTGCATCAGGTGGGTAGAACAGCTTGAAGTGACTGGTGCACACCATTCAATTGTGCAGCAAGAACGCAGCAAGGGAAGTTCACCGCATAAAGGCAGACTAAGACAAACTGTGAGCCAGAGACATGCCTTCATCTTGCGCAGAGCGTATGGCGCTCTTCTCTTCGCCTCTGCTGTCGCAAGTCTGGGCCACGGACGGACCATGGTTTTTCACAGTTTTCTCGGGTCTGAGCGTTCAGCTGAGTGCTTTCCAAGGGCGGGCATGTCCCTGACTTGGCCGCCCAAAGACGGAAGGCACTGGCAGATCTGCTCCCGCTCCTGCAGAGTTCAAGCAGTGTATTATGTATGGGATCCCTCTGTCCGACATGCAAATTGGGGGTCCGACATGCCAAGGTAGGTTTTCGAGATGCAAACTTTCTTGGGGTCCCACATGCAAAGGTAGGTGGGTTTTCGAGATGCAAACGGCTTCGTGCCATGCATCTCGGGCGCGCGCTTTGCATCTCGAAAACCCAACCTTGCATGTCGGACGCCGCAGTCCCTATTATGTATTCCTTTGCCAATTTTTACGCATTCCTTTCGCATTCCTTTCTGCGTCTTGGTTTGCATCCTCATCCGGCCTGGCTCAAGGGCAGGCCGCGCCGTTGCTCTGCCACCCAAGTCTTACTGTAGTAGATCAAAACAACACGGTGATGCCAGACAACAAGATCGCAAGACATACTTCTGCAAGAGCTTTCACTTTGCAGCGTGATGCCAAATGGCTGTCACGTCAAACCAGCATACGTGTGACAACCTGCATCAGCTAGCCACATCCATATCACAGCAGACTTGAGACTCACTCCGTAGTCGTATTTTCACGTTAACATCGGTCAGGTTGCAGACGCTTAGATCGCCACTGCCGGTTGATTAGTTGGGGTAAGCTGGCGCATCAGTGTGACTGTGTCGCTGCCTCAGTTGGACTTGTACCTGGTTTGCTCTTCGCGTGTTGCACGATGTACTCCATGCGCAGTGCTGTGCCTTACTCAGGCTCCTGGGTATGTCTTCGGCCATGGTCTCGGTTTAATTCATGCAGGAAAGTTCCGCTTCAAGCTGTCGAGTTGCCCGCATCAAAACTTGAAGGCGACAAGTTGTCATGTGCACACTGACATCCGCATAGTTGCTGATGTGTGGGTCCTAGTTACCTAGTTGCACCCAACACTCGCGCACCTACGCACAATTAAACCCACCCACACACAACCCTCACGACTAGAAACATGCATTGCTGGCTCCAGCCGGAGATGTCGAAAATGAGCGAGATTGTAGCTTTGTAGCGTGCCTTGCGCCTGCCATGAAAGGCAAGTCGGCGACGGCAAAGAGCGCACCAAAGAAGACAGTTGAAAGTGAAAGCGAAAGCGAGCAAGAAAGCGATTTGGGGTCCTATTTTGGGTCTGAAGCTGAAGCGCTCCAAGATGGCGAGGACACTGGCGAGGTGCTGTCGGTGCTGTCCCCTTTTGGCCCAGAGACCTTTCAGAGTGCAGAGCTCTGTTGGGCTCATGCAGAGTCTGTGGTTGGGTTTTCGTTGAAAGCACTGAGAATAAAGCTGAAAGAGGAGGGAATGGAATGGTCCGACTACCACCGGATTCGGCTCGTGAATTACTTAAGGAAGCTTGGGCCTGAAAAGGCGCGCTTGGAGGCACCCACGTTGAGAGACTTGTCGGCCGATTCCCCAATCTGGGAGCGTGAGGATTTGCTGATGCCTGTTTTACCAGACGACCTGCTCCTCTTTGATGCCGAAAGCGAAAGCGACAGCGGCTCCGAGAGGGCGCTTCCGGTCGACAAGGGCGGCAAGGGGAATAAGGGGAATAAGGGGAAGGAGGGGAATGAGGGGCTGAAGGGGCTCACAGGCACTTCCACCGCTGCCTGTGAAGCCGAGGAAGTCCATCGACTACGTGCGGAGCTCCAGAGTCTCAAGAGGCTGTTGTCTGCCTCTGACGACAACGCGGTCCAGGCGACCAAGTCTCCAGATCTACCCTGGCAGACTACCCGTTCCCTGCGCGCGGCCGCGGTGTCCTTGCAGACCTGGCTTTCGGCCCATCGTGAGTTGGTGGCAGGGCGAACCATCCTCAACCTGGGATGCGGGGCAAATGTTTTGGGTCTTGTTTGTGCCCAGCTCGGAGCTCAAGTCATAGCCGTGGATGCCAGTGTTGAAAACCTCACACTAGCACGGACCCTGGCGGAAGCTAACATGCAGATCCCTCGGATCCAGCTACTGCGTGGCGACCTGAAAGAGAGCCCAGGCTTTGGACTGGCAGACGGTGTGCTTTGTGAGAGGCTCATCATGCAGCCCTCGCTGGCAAAGCTTCTCCAACTCTTGGCTGCAAGGCAAAGACACTTGCAGGAAATGCCCCCGGTGTCCTCGAACATGTCCTGGGTCTTTCCGCGATATGCCTCCCTGCACTTGTCGGGCTGCGACTTCTCCAAGGATCTGGAGGAGAAAGAGGCTCTTGCGGATGTGGCAGGTCTGAACCTGTCGCGCTTGGCTCCGCGTGCGGCGCAAGCAGGATCCGTTGCAGTAGTGCCGGCCATGCAAATCCGTGAAAGCCTTGCTTCCACGGAGTCTGTGGCTCTTTTCCGAGCAGATCTCATGGAGCAAGCTGAAAGCATCTTTGCCAGAAGAGAGTTCAAGTTGGAACTCCAGCCTGATCGAAGCCTGACATCTTTGATGGTGGAGCTTCGGCTGGAGGAGGCTGGCGAAGATTCACATGGTTCACGCCCGCAGACGGTGCTCCATTTGGCAGAGCCAGACGGGAGTTTACTTTGCCTGTGTGGAAGGGACTTCTCATCCGTGGAAGGCTATATCTCTGGAGCCCCGCTGGAGGATGGAAGCTTGCAGCTGGCTGTGGCTCTGACAGCAAGTGCAAGGCATGCAAGGCTTAGTGACAGGGACGCGGGCAGGAGCTTGTCCGCAGAGTTTACAATCCTTGGCGGAGAGTAGCGCCAATGTGCGCCAATGTGCGCACTGATAGGTGGACGATGGTGGACGTTGTGTTCAAAAAGACCCTTCCTAGCCACCCGCAGATGTGCTTTTCAGACTCGCCTTGCTCTCCTGGTACCTTGTCATCCGCTCCTCGCAATGCACGAAGCGCTCAGTCAGACTTGAGAAGACGTGTGCAACCTGCTGATTTCTTTCTGTGTGTTTAGGTTGTGTGTGCCGGCAGTATTCATTATTGGTCTGCTGCATCCTACGTCGGATTCTCTAGTCCTCGGTATGCTAAACTGAAGGAGTCACTGCGCTTTTCAGAAGCACGAACTGTCCATGATGTGCTGGGAGAGCATTGGGCTCACCGTTCCGGGGGACTCTGGCCAATGCTTGTGACAGTTATCAGTGCCCCGAGATGGAGGCGCTTCTTTTTCGTGGTATGATTTATTCCCATCTGTCGTCCCCTCCCCTAGTTCCAAGACCGAGATCGTTGTGCAGCATCAATGATATACAGCGCTGTGGGTCTCGGGGCTTCTGGCTTCTGGTCATGCAGGTTTCAGTTTAGTCAGATTAGTCAGGCTTGCTCATGGCCTTGCAATGCCAAGGCCTCTGGCAAAGCCAAAGTGCCTCCGTCCTTGAACAATGGGCAGTGCAGGGCTCAGCTCAGAGATTGTTGGGGAAGCAGTGGTGTGGATTGCTGTGGGGAATGCATCCGTTTTAGGATTCAGATCCAGAAGAAGCTTGGTGCAGGCTGCTTTGGCGAGGCAGTGTGCCTGTCTGTGATTGTTGTGGCATGAGCAGATAGGGCCCATGGCAACGAGAGTTCTTGCCCCGCGAAAGGTATATCGGGGTTTCCATTCTGGCACCAAGGAGGACGTAGCAATCAAGTTCGAGGTGGGATGAGACTGATGAAATTAACTCAGTCAGAAGCAGTCTGTGGCAGCGCTTCAGGCATTGCAGAACCAGTCGCTCCAGTTGCGACACGAGGCCTCGTGAGCGGAAAGACTGAGACACCACACGTTTTATGCGAGGCCGATATCGTTGTTGGTGAGGTTGTATACATATTATTCTATATAGATAGATAGAGAGAGAGAGAGAGAGAGAGAGATATCCTTCTCGGGATGCTGGTAATGAAAGCCATGCCTCATGTGAGGCAGGGGTACATCCATTCCCTGCCAGGGTGAGATGCTGAACTTGCTGCGCCTCCCCACACAACCTCAGGGCTTTGCCAAGTTCTTCTATTTTGGCCAAGAGGCAGGGGCAGCCATGCTGCATCTTTTGCCATAACACACATGCGCTCTGAAATCGTGTTCCTTTTTGAGGGCAACTTCAACTGCCTGGCCATGGAGTTCTTGGGCAAGAGCTTAGAAGACCACGTGCAGCTGCTGCTGGGCTGAACAGAGGACGAAAGCACGTTCTAACACAAAGTGCAGATCGGCAAGCGCCTTCGCGTTCTCCGAGGTGCAGCGGGCGCTTCACATCCAAGACTGCGTGCCTAGTCGCGCAGCAGGCGGGATGCACATTGCGTGCAAAGAGGGTGCTCATCTAGCAGACCCAGCAGACCCAGCATTGACCTTGGTTGGCAAGAAGTGGACTAACACGACGGGATGTGACTTGTGCGGTCAGTCTTATGAGTGATTCACGGCAGAGAATGGGCCCATCCTTGCTTGCCCTTTCTTGCACTTGCCTGACATCTCACACTTTGCATTGAGCGGAGGTGCTTGTACGAATCGAGTACCTTCATTCCAGAGGCTCCAATGGGCTCTACTTTATTGCGTCTTCATGCACCTTGTGATTTTTCCCAACTTGAAATGCTGGCTGCATTCGATTAGCTGGAATCTTCAGCCATTGATTGATATTCTTCAGTCAGCGTCGTTTGCGTCTACCATATTCTCTGCAGTAGCCCCGATGTGCAGTTTTGTTGCACAGGAGTGGTGCACAGAGTGGCTTGGCCGCACCTTTGGTGGTGCTTGTAGATACGCGAAGCTGTCGCCTTGTAGAGCGACTTACTGCTGGCAGAAGTGGGGACGGGATCCTGTAAGAGGGCAGGTCAAGAAGAAAACAGCCACCATGTCCTATGTCCTATGTCCTGCCTCGTTTAGGGGACCGAAGGTCCTGGGAAGCCCCATGAGCGTGGCGTGCTTGTGCTTGAAGCGCACAGTGCGAGACGACTTTTACTTGATGATTGGGTGGCCTCTGGAGTTGGGAATTTTGCTCATCCATGTCGAGCAAGCCGGGAAGGAAATGAAGCGCCACAGTGCCTGGCACGCGATTTTGTGACAAAACGTCCAACAGAATAGCTGGGGTGGTGTTGGAGAGGCATGGTGCCACTGCCTGCGGAGGGCTTCGAAAAGATGTGGCATTCGTTCAAGAGCAGTTGTAGCGAGTGAGCAAATTCCAAGACTTGAAATACAAAGGCGTAGCACAAGACCTCGTTCCTCTTCGTCCTCTTTGTCCTCTCCCCACCCTTCACATACAGCAGGGTAAGTCCCCCTGTGCAACGAAGCTGTGTAGCACAGGGCCCTGGACAGCTATACAGGGTTGGAGATCATTGATGTGCCCTTCGCCGCACTGGCCGGAACTACTCCATCAAGCCCGTTAGATTTGGTTTCGTCCTTTGCGATAAGAAGTTGGGTGTGAGTGGCACTGCTTGTGCTGTTCATGGGTGACGAGCTGCCAGTGGCCAGACCGTCCGTGCAAGGACATCAAGCCAGAGAACTTCATGTTTGGTGTCGGCAGCAAAGTGCAGGAACCTCAGAGAAGTCAGTCGTCGCCACTACTGAGCCTGCAGCTGCTCATGCAATTGAAGTTCCATGGTTTTTGCGCGCCAGCTGTCGATGCGCAGCAGCCTTTGCAAAATCCAGTCTTTTTGCTGCTTGTTAAACGTGCGGACACGTCTAGCAATGTGGGGACCAAGGCACCACCTCTACCTTATTGACTTCGGCTTGAGCAAGAGGCTCTTGCACGAACCGATTCTTCTCAGGTGTGCCATAGTTGCCCAGCCCGAAATGTCACGGCCAGATACTGGGACAAGAAGCACGTGCTTTCCACCCAGAAGCTGAGCCTCACGGGCACAGCCAGGTGGGCACACTCGGAGAACGTTTGAGAGATGGAGAGTGCCCTGCACTGTTCAACCTGAGGTATGCGTCGTTGAACGCCCACCGTGGCTTCGAGCAGAGCCGGCGCGATGACTTGGAGGCCCGGGGGCAAAAGGGTGAAAAAATGGAAGGTGAGCCATGTTGTGCTTCACTGATTGCACGAGACATTGCACGGACGTTTCCTTTCTTCTCAGCAGAAAGGCCATCGGGCACATGCTGATGTACTTCCTGCGATCCTCGCTCCCTTGGTCCGGCCTGGAGGCTCGAACCAAGAAGGCGCTTGGGGGGGGGGAGTTGGACTATGTTGGACTGTCTCTCTTCATGTCATGCTCTCTTCATTCTTCACGTCTCTCTTCATGCTGTCCTATCTCGTCATGCTGTCCTCTGCCTGTCCTGTCTTTTTCTAGTCGCCTGACCACGCACATGCACGACGCCAGAACGTGTCTGGACATGCCGTGAGCATGAGGAGAAGTATCAAAAGATCAAGGAGAAGAAGGATCCGGCTGAGCATCCTAAGCTGAACTGTGCTCTCCTTCTGAAGCAAGTCTGCTGCATTCACGGTTGATGTTTCTAGTGGAGACGCCATTGTATACGGAGGAGAGCACAGAGCTTTCAGATCTGCCGCGGTCCAAGCTCCGGGGAAGTTGACTGAGTTGTTCAAGGATTGTTGTAGCTCTAAGGCACTTTATAAGGGCTTACGACTGAAGATGCAGAGTGTGAGAGGGCCAAGTGGTAGTCCAGTTGCCTTGTGTCGAAGTCAATCACTCAGGTGTGCAGGACATCCAGAAGCTTTTCAGGCTTACCTAGAGTATGCCAGAAATCTCGGCTTCAAGGACTGCTCACAGAGCCACGGTGAACATGTGCCGGACCAAACGGTTGAGTGAAGACTCGAACTGCAGCAAATCGATCCACAGGCTCCAGGCCCTGGACGCGAGTTGGTCGGAGAGCCTGTGCACATCAGTGAATTTCAGACGCCTGCGAGGATCGCCCGGACTATGTCATGCTTCGGAAGCTGTTCGCCAATCTAAGGGCTGTAGTCTCAGATTTTCTGCCTGGTTGGCTTTGTGCTCAGCCTGCGCCCGTGCAAGTGGCACATGATACAGGTGGAGGTTGTTTAAATCTCATCTACTCTGTGTGTCCAGCATGCCGTACATGTCAGGCCAAAATAGAGCGAGACGAAGGACGTCCAATCCAGGCTTGGGGGGTGGCAAGACACCAACACGACGTGTGCTGAAAGTGTGAGTGTAGCAGAGACATGTGGCTTGCGTTTGTGGCCTGGGCTTGGGCTTGTGTCGGCGAGGACTGTGACTTCGAGTGGCTCGAGGGCAAGCAGCTTGGCGAGCAAGGCACCAAGATGGCCTTGGCATGCCCTGGCGGCGACTCATGCGACACAGCCATTTCACAACAGCTTGCAGCATGCTCATGTTTGACACCTGGATGCCGAGGCTTGAGCCTCTGCTGCCATACGACAACCTGGGGCAGCCAGATGACGAGCAGGTGCCCCCCCCTGACCGTGTGAGCTGGAAGGATTCGCGGGTACCCCACAGCGGTGGATTGCGGTCTGTGGTGCAGGCTGCCACGGAGCGGCCGCGCGGCCTTTGCTGCCTCTGTGGCGGATCCCAGGCAGTGGTTTGTCGAGTTTTGTGTCAACCAGCATTTCCGTGCCGACAAACCCGCTTTGGGATGACCTGTGGCACCTGCATCTCAGTTCGCTGGGAACCTCTTCGGATGGGCCTCTCCTTGCAGAAACCCACATCTCGATGTCCTGGCACTCAAAACGGTCGCTTCGGCCGTCGTATGCACCCATGCGGACACCCACGTTTCGGTGGGGACACGGGAGGCAACCACAGGCCAACTCCGATGACGATGACCGCCACCATAAGAACCACCACGGCCGACCCGACCACGATGTCGGCTGCGTCGATGACGACGACCAGCATCAATGCCAGCATCACTAACGCTGAATGCAACTGGGGTTTCACACACCCGGGCTTAAAGTGAAATGGAAGCCAAGCCATTACCGATCCGACGACGGCTGACAACAAAGGAGTTCTTCATGAAGTGCAATCGGCAAGGCAAAATGCACGGTTGGCATTTGTAACAGCAGTTTGTAGATTACGAGCGGTGGCCTGAGCAGATTTGTTTGCAGATGAGCAAGCTGTTTATGTGGATTGCCTCGTGCAGAGCCAACATCACCGGCAAACGGTTCCACCGGTCAAAGCAGCAGAGATTTCTGACTCTCTGCACTCTCTGCACGCAGGTGCGCAACTGAGCAGCCGACTGCGCAGCAGCGGCTGAGCCGGAGCCCTTCAGTACAATGGTGGCCAGTGCGACAAGGAACCTCAGAACGTTCCTTTGCATTGCGATGCATCAGGCAAGTTTGTCGCATGAGTGACGCCCTTTTCTCCAAGTTCAGGTGCACTACTCAGCTCGTGAGTCGGAGTAATTATGATGGAGTCATGCAGCCATTGCATGTCCAATCATGAGGAGCTGCCACAGCAACCCTGCACTCAGGTCTTCTTTTGCTTTGACTGTCGCCGTCTATATTTCCTTAGAAAAGCCTCAGACGGCCTTCATTTGACACAAGTTTCTAATCCAGCAAGTGGGCAAAGCATAGCAAAGCTAGGTGTCAAGACTATGTCGGAGTCGCCATCTTTTAAGTGTCTTCGCTATTTCCTATCAGGCATCAACAGTGCTGTACAGGTATTACCAAAAGGACAAGCATGGAATAAAGAGCGAGACTACTCAAAACTAACAAGCGAACATCGATCGGGGTATGGGAGCATGATCTTCTAATATCCTCTATGCTTCGCTAGGCTGCTACATGCTCAGACATTCAAACATGGCCGTCTGCGGTCTTCCAAACGAAGGTTTGGACTGCCTTGCCTGCCCTTCTGGATTCAGCAGACTATTCCGAGGTTTCGTAGGATTGCGACATTACTGTACAAGAGGGGCCCCCACGCACGTGCGTGGCGTTGTCGAGCATCACCTGACCAGGAGGTTGGTGCACGAACAGGATATCATGCGGTGAACAAGATTTAAGCTTCACTGAAATGTTTCCATTGGAGTCGGGCAACTTGAAGCGCAACAGCTCCAGCTTCATACTCACTTCCAGCTCTCACTTGCTCTGTTCTGCAGCCTGTTTCAGTGTGCGAAAGGCGCAAGCTGGTGCACTTTGAGCTGCCTTAGACTTCGTTGACCTTCAGAAGGATGAGCTGCCCTAAGCGCAGTCTCTCCTTGGCCCGTCTGAAGCGCACATGCACAACTCCGTGGGAAGGAAATGGTCCCGCTCCCTAGTGGGAACGGCGGACCGTCTCACTTAGTAAAAACGGACAGGAAGAGAAGAATCAATCATCAGTCATATCCGAGGGATCCCCTTAGGGGCACTCCACGGATGGTGGCTCTCTCCACGGCCCTCAAGACGAAGTCGAGACGAAGTCGAAGTCAGAACCCTTTGAGAGCGGCTTTCTTCGACGTGGGCCATGGTGAGGGCGAATCTGCGCGGCCATCTCCAGACCGGCACATTTCGGCACCTGTTCGATACCTCGCCTCTTCCATGCTGAGTTACTGCAAACGTAGATTAATAGGACATATTAGGACATATTAGGACATATTGAAGTGCCGCTTCCAAGGCTTCGCATGGGAGGCCTTTGGCTCCAACTGTCAGTTGGCATACCAGGAACGGCGTCGAGGTGAGACCATCTCACCAAATGCCAGGCTGCTTATCGAGCGCTTTGATCGTGCTGAATCAAAAAGTTGACCCCAACAAGAACGATGAACTCACGATGCGGCAAACACAGGCTATCCTTGTAGCACGATCGTGCGCACATGGCCTGGGCGCGTCTGGAAATGTATGCGTTCGCTGTGATCATGAAGTGTTCTCCGACCTCCGGAGCCAAGCAGGGCCCTTCTTGACATCATTTGACATCAAGGTGCCCCATTCTGTTTTCGATGAACGGATATTGAGGCCCCGAAGCCAGGGTTTGGCTCCCTGCGGATGCAGTTCAAAGATTCAGAGACAGCCCATTTCCCACCAATATTTGTTATGCCAAGAGCTGTAGTTGCTCGGATGCGCTTCTAGCGCTGGTTCACGCATAGCGTGCCCAGAAAAGAAACCCGACATCAGCTGCATGCTGGAGAACTTGGAGCAGTCATGATGCTAAGTTGAGTCCAAGCTGCATTTCGCGTGACGTGCTAGTCTGCGTCTGATCTTTGCCCCTGCCCACACCGTGCCTGAATCACAGGCGTGTCCTTCCAACATCTTCGAGCAAATTGCCTTTGATATCGAGGATGACGTCGGTACCCTGTAATGCTACAGTGCTGCCACGTGCCGCCAAACTATCGCTAGTCTCCCTTCGACGTGGAACTCCTGATGTATGCGCTTGAGAGGATACCGTGGCAAAAGCCATGCTTGCCCAAGCTGGCAAGGAAGAGGAGGACTCTGATGTTCCGGAGGACAGCTCTGTGCATGTATATTCATGGGCATGCACTCTGCAGGCATGCGTTTATATTGTGGCATACGCTGTACACGCCGTTTCAGCCTCTTGCAATTAACATCCTCAAAGCCAAGAGTTGAGAGGGTCGTCCAAGAGTTGAGAGGGTCGTCGCATCGTTGAAATTTCCAACAACTCGAAAGGATGGCAAACATCCGATCTTCCCGGTGATTGAGTCGCCAAGACATTCAGTCTGCGCAGGCCTGCTGGGATAGATTCCTAGCTCAGCAGCTACTTAGAGCGCCAGATCTAGGCTTTCTGTAGTGGCAAGTCAGCACAGCGGCGTATCGAAAGCCTCAACGGAGTAATGAGGATTAACATCGGACGACGTTTACTGTCAGGCTGTTTGGTCACTGCATCAATGAGCAACATTGGTTCTCACCTAAGTTCGGTGTGGTGACTCGAAGTAGGGACCGATCGATTTGGTACCCGCCTGACTAAACGAGGCGTTTCGGACATGCTGAACCTTGACATGTCACGGGACTCCACGGCATTGCTCGGACCAACTGTGCGAGCCCAAGTCGTAATCCGCATTGTCCGCATTGTATATGCAAGCTACAGCTAGCTCCCAGCTTCCCAACGCAGATGCACCAAGGAGGCTGAATGGCTAAAGCAGAAGAGAGAGGAGGACGAAGAGGTCGGTCGGATCTGGGGCAGCAGAAGGGCCGGGGCAGTTCACGCCGTGACCGGATCTGTGTGTTGTGCTTTCATAATCTGGGTGAACTGCTGTTGCGTGAGGATTGGGCTTGTTGGCTGATGCATTCTCAGGGTGGACACATGCTCAGACATCAGCAGCGTGGTGTTGGTGCTTGTTCTTGTTGGCCGCGTGATGATCTCTTTTGTAAGATGACACATTGGCTGGGCGGACCTCCCGTTCAGCAGCATCAATGTGAGATGTTATCATCCGCCGAACGGGTGTGCTTGGCATTGATGCTTGTTGTCGGCCGCGTGATGATCTCTTTTGTAAGATGACGCATTGGCTGGGCGGCCTCCTGTTCAGCATCATCAATGTAAAGAGACTGTGATATGAGAAGGCGAATCTGAGAGCAATGTCTTGTGCGTTCAGCAGCTGTGCTTGTTTTTTGAGGAAAAGAATTCATGTGATGGAACGTTAGTAGCTCTACATGCGGAGGCGAATCCAATGTTTGTGCTTCGTTTCGTGATGAGTGCTTTTGTAAGATAGAAACATTGGCTGGGCGGACCTCCCGTTCAGCAGCATCAATGTGAGATGTTATCATCCGCCGAACGGGTGTGCTTGGCATTGATGCTTGTTGTCGGCCGCGTGATGATCTCTTTTGTAAGATGACGCATTGGCTGGGCGGCCTCCTGTTCAGCATCATCAATGTAAAGAGACTGTGATATGAGAAGGCGAATCTGAGAGCAATGTCTTGTGCGTTCAGCAGCTGTGCTTGATGTCGATAGCGTACTGCTAGGTTCGGATTTGCCTTGTTGACGCTTCGTCTGGGTGGCGACCTGTTCCGCACCATCTGTGCATGGGAACGCCAATTGTGCACCAGGAGGCGAATCCAACGTTTGTGCTTTGTTTGCTGCGTGATGAATGCTTTTGTAAGATGATACATTGGCTGGGCGGACACCTGTTCAGCAGCATCAATGTGAGAGAATGTGAGATGAGAAGGCGAATCTGAGATGTTATCGTCCACCAAACTGATGTGCTTGACATTGGTGCTTGTTGTCCTGGGTTGGATTAGGGGGACCCTGAAAAAGGGAACCCTTCTCAACCCCTGCTGGCTCTCTTAAGCAGGAGCTTGTTGAGAGGGTCTATATCCCTAAGGGTCCCTCTAAACCTATCCCCTATGTTGTTGGCCGCGTGATGATCGCTTTTGTAAGATGACGCATTGGCTGGGCGGCTTCCTGTTCAGCACCATCAATGTAAAGAGACTGTGATATGAGAAGGCGAATCTGAGAGCAATGTCTTGTGCGTTCAGCAGTTGTGCTTGATGTCGATAGCGTACTGCTAGGTTCGGATTTGCCTTGTTGACGCCTCGTCTGGGTGGCGACCTGTTCCGCACCATCTGTGCATGGGAACGCCAACTGTGCACCAGGAGGCGAATCCAACGTTTGTGCTTTGTGTGCTGCGTGATGAATGCTTTTGTAAGATGATACATTGGCTGGGCGGACACCTGTTCAGCAGCATCAATGTGAGAGAATGTGAGATGAGAAGGCGAATCTGAGATGTTATCGTCCACCAAACTGGTGTGCTTGACATTGGTGCTTGTTGTCCTGGGTTGGATTAGGGGGACCCTGGAAAAGGGAACCCTTCTCAACCCTCTGCCGGCTCTTTTAAGCAGGAGCTTGTTGAGAGGGTCTATATCCCTAATAATCCAATCCCCTATGTTGCTGGCCGCGTGATGATCTCTTTTGTAAGATGACGCGTTGGCTGGGCGGCTTCCTGTTCAGCACCATCAATGTAAAGAGACTGTGATATGAGAAGGCGAATCTGAGAGCAATGTCTTGTGCGTTCAGCAGTTGTGCTTGATGTCGATAGCG